AGGTTTTTTCCTATTTATTGTGGACGGGAAGCTCGCCATCTCCGCCCGGTCGACCGGGCACATCGGACATGGGCTGGAACTCTGGCCTGAGGAACTCCTACTCTTTCGCCGCAGCCCTTTTGTCTTCTTGCCCACTGAATGGCACTCTCCTCCCCCACTCCGCTTTCTCACTAGTCGCTCAGTTTTCTTTCCTGTCGCTTTATCGCTGACCCCCACTCCTGTACTGTCCCTGGTTTTTTTGGGCTCCTCCCTCCTGTCCCACCTTCCATCTATCACCCTCTCTGTGCTTCTGTCCCTGTCCAGTTGGCTGTGGTGTCCCTGTGTCTCCCGGTTTAACACCCCTCCCTGCCTTCTGTTCCCCATTCATACTGCAGTGTCTTTTGGCAGGAGTTCTGGCGGCTCAAGCCGAGAAGAGGGAATAGGGAGCTCCCACCCACCCTCTGTATTTTACCCAGCTGAAAACTTGGGTTTTGGGGGACGGGGGGACAAGGAAAAAAAACACCCAAAGAAGGGGGGGTTATTTTTGAGGGGAAGTCCCAGAAATGTAGGTTAATATCTTAGGCCTCTTATTTTTGTAAGATGTGTAGGATTTGCTGTTTTTCTTTTGACAACTCAGGAAGAAACTGACCTCAGAAAGAATGTTAGATCTTGGCTGCTCTCTTGTTGCCCCAGCCCCACTCCAGGCGAGCAAATTCTCCCAGACCATAGACACTTGGGACTGTGGAGGAAGACTCAGACATGCACTCAAACCTGCTGTTCCTGGGACAGAAGCTGAATGTATTTGTCAGGGCTTTCTTCCCAGGTCCTAGCTTACAGGCAGGAGGTGGGGGTGAGAGTAGGAGGCAGGACTCCAGAGGGTGCATCTTGGTCTCTTATTGCCCTCCTCCCCAGCCCAGCTTCAGGTTGCCTGTGAAGCTTACACAGAGATGGGGTGTCTGTGCCCAGTTCTTGCCTCGGAGGTGACTGAGGCAGATCTCACTGGACATCTGCTTGGTCAGAGGTGCACAATAATTTAGGCTAGGAGGATTCCCTCAGGCATGAAGGTCTTCTGGCCACAAAAGGTCTTACTAGGCACAAAATTGACTACTAGGGGTCAGGCCACCTGCTCTGCTGGAAACTGCCAGGAAGGAAAGCATGGCCCTGGAGAAGCTTCTGTGGGAAGTGTTTACATGTTCCCCAGAGTGCTAGGTCTACAACTGAAAGGCCTTGAGAAGACACGGCCTTTCCCCTGACATCTTCCCAGCAGGTTCAGCCCATCTCTGCAAACCATATGGCTCTCCTCGTACTCATTTCACTCCATGGGCTTCAGCTGTTTGGCCCCTCAGCCCATTTCACAATCTTTGCTATTTCATCCAAAGAAGGGACACCCCCTTCTTTGTCCCACCCTAGCCCCTCTGCCTGCCCCTACAGCTCCTAGTTCTCACACTCTAGAAAGGGAGGTAGCACAAGAGGCACAGCAGGGGCCCAGCATGCTGAGGGCAAGGTGCTAAGCCTAGGCGTGCGAACCTGAAAGCTGCTGTGTCCCCTTCATCCTTGTTTCTCTGACCCTCTCTGGAGCCAGCTGACCAAGTGTAGAACTTGATGTCTCAGAGCAAGTGGCCACAGGGTGTTGCTATGAAAGACCCTTGGCCAGAACATGGAACAAATATGTTTTCTCAGGTGTGTGTATGGGGTGGGTGGGTAGAGGGTCAGGGAGGTGGAGTGGGGATCCCAGCTCTCCAAGAGGCAGCAGCTCCGGGGGTGGGGGGTAGGACCTCATGGACCAAGCCCCAGGGTTCCCACACTTCCTTTGCTGGGCCCTTTCTGTTCCCAGGCTTGGGAGCTTTGCACAAGACAGCCCCCAGCTGCAGCACCTACCTCATTGTCAAGGGGCAGGGAGGCAGGGTGGGTCAGCCCTGGCAATGTTGGGGGGCATACCAAAGAATCCAGGGGTGGGAGGCAGGGGAGGGCACGCTGGCCCTCTACTCCCTCTGCTCATGTTGGGTTGGGATCCTCTCCTTCAGCTGTAACCATTTCTACCTCATTTTGCTGTGTGTTGTACATGGATCTATTTATCTCCTGTCTGATGACGCTCTGCAGTTGTGGTCTACCTCAGAAGAGACTGTATTTTAAAAGAAAGTGTTACACAGTATTAAAGCTATAATGTGGTATTCGGAGGATTTCTTGGGGGTAGTGGAATCTGGGGAGTCCTTGAGAATACTTGGGCATTCAGGTCTGTCAGCACCTGGGCTGTGGCATTGGGTGTTTTTCCTTCAGAAGAAAGTTATTGTGGGTCTCTTATTCACTCTACACAGCCAGTGGCTGCCCAGTGCTTGCCCCTGAGGTCAACACAAGAAGAGCCCTAGACCCTGAAGTATGAGGGCAAAGAAGGATGTACATGTTTGTTGAATGAATGCATGAACAAATCAGTGTGTGAACAAAAGAGGGGCCCTCCAGAACCTGGCAGAAGCCCAGGGTGGGTGAGGTGAGGGTCATACTTGTCTTCCACAGAGTGGAAGGGAAGTGGGTAGAGGGCATGGTGTGGAGACTGCTGAATTCCACTGTTTCAGGCCACACAGGGCTCTTTGTCTTTCTATTCCCAGCTTATCTCTGACAACTCATGATAAATGGAGATGGAAACAACTAGGAACGCTTTCTGAAAAAGCTCTGTGGACCTATTCAGACCTATTACTTTCTCAGGTCCTTAACTGTTGTTAAGTGGGACTGTTCAAAATGCACCAGAGGCCATCCGGTGGCACACACCTTTAATCTCAGCACTTCGAAGACAGGCAGGAGGATCTCTGTGAGATCGAGGCCAGCCTGATCTATATAGGGAGTTCCAGGCCAGCAGGTGTGACAGGAAGACCCTGTCTCAAAAAACCAAAACCAACCAACCTACCAACCCAAAAGGCATCAGCTCCAAGGGGGAGCTGTGTGCCGGGCTCCCTGCTTGACAAACTCATTTGGAGGAGGCAAAGCCAGCAGCAGCTTTAGGAGGATGAATGTGGGTATTGTTCTAGGCTTCAGAGACTTCGTATTTTGGTTCTTGGAGGTCCAGATATGCCCTTCAGTTTCTCAGATATCTACTGTGTGCAAACATTGTAGGTAGTAAAAAGGTGATAAAAGAACCCTTGAGAGTCTGTAGTGAGAAAGATCCCCCAAACAGACCATATAAGTATACAATCTATAAACACTAGATAAAGGAGCTGGGGGGAGGGATGCATATGACTATTTCTTATAGCTGACATGCTTACTTGATGCATAAGTCACTGAAAAATTTTGTTGCACTGTGTGGTATGCATGCCTTTAATCCTAGCACCCCAGAGGCAAAGACAGGCAGATCTCTCAGACGGAGGCCATCTAGGGCTGCATAGTGAGACCCTGTTTCAAAAAGCAAACACAATTTAAAAAAAAATCTTTGTTGAGTAAATCCTCTTATATCTAGAACAGTGATCCAATGTAGAACACACAAATTCATGGATGCCCAGGAAAGCTGGGGAGATGGCTGAGCAGGTAATGTTTGCCATGCAAGTGTAAGGGCTAGACTTTGGATCCCCAGCACACACATAAATACTGGGTAGGTGTGGCAGTGCACCTGTAATTCCAACCCCTGGAAAGCAGAGATGGGACACCCCAGAGTAAGGGGGCTAATCAGACTAGCCATATCAGTGCACTTTGGGCTCAATTGAGAGACCTGGCCTCAATGAATACGGTGGAGAGTGATTGAGGAAGACTTTTGATGTTAGCCGCAGGCCTCCACAAACATGCACATACGTGCATGCACACAGCACACACACGCACCCACACACCACTGAAGAAAATGCTCAAGAAAGATCCCCACCAGTGGTGGTGTCAGGAACCTTCCCAGATAGGAAGGGTAGAGGCCAGCAAAATGTAGAGGCTGAAAGGACATTGTTGACACATCCATGTGGGTCTGTGCCACCAACAGTAGTTCTTTACAAGAGCATGAAATGGGGACAGGAGTAGGGAAACGAGGCTGGAGAAATCAGGCGGGAGGGTTCCCTTTAAGAGCTGCTTCACAATGAAGCCTCAGTGTGGGTGAGTGGGTGGACAAGTAAGTGGCTGTGGACAGGGGACTGATTTGCAAGAATTCACACACTTGAGTCAACAAACCTTCCTTGAACATTAACATAATAGTCGCTATTGGGACAGCGGGTGGGTCTCACAGTTTCATGGCTGAGATAGTAAAAAGGCTGAGCTGCAGTGTGTGTGTGTGTGTGTGTGTGTGTGTGTGTGTGTGTGTGTGCGCGCGTGTGCGTGTGCGTGCGTGTGTGTGTGTACCCATGCACACACTACTTGAGTCCTTGAGAGGTGCTTATGGAGATAGACGGAAGATGTATGTGGATTGTGTGTGTGGCTTCCCAGAAGGTATGAGACAACAGCTTCCATGATAAAAGTCAAGTGGCCACACTGTGGGCCAAGTTGGGGGAAAACCATAGTCAAGCCTCCTTAGGAGAAGGACCCACAGTTGGATAAAGTGGTGTGTGGGGATGGGAGACTCAGGAGTTTGTCTAATCCAGAGGAGGTGAGTTTTGGACTAGCAGGTATGGGAAGATGGAACGACTGGGGCATCCTGAGAGGATCTGGGCTTAACTGGATTTGGGGGCCCATAGTAAGCAGGGGGCTAGGGCTTCTGGTGGAGGGCGAAGGATGGTAAATTAATGAAAAGAAATGGGGATTTGCAAAGTTTGAGGCATTTTGGGGGTTAGACCCTTCAATAAAACGGCAGACCCCTAGCACTGCAGGCATGAGCCTCACCCAACAGCTGCTATGGCCAGCCAGTCCCACGGGTTCCCCGTTTCTGGTCTTCGTCGGGGGTTGTTGGGAACCCCTTAACGGAGACCCCGAATGTTTCAAAGCTGTGTTCCCCTCGTTGTGGCTGACTACATTCTACCTTTCAATTCTGGAACGTTCCCGCCTCTGCGCTGCCACAATCCAGCGCTGGGCCACCCTGCCCCCGGGCATTCCGAGCCCCTCCTGCTCAGGTCGCAGCGGCCGGGATGGCGCAGGCTCTGGTCCTGGTGCTCTGCGGCTGGGCGCTGTCCCCTGCGGGCGCGCTGGACGCCATGGGCCCTCACGCGGCCGTCCGCCTGGCGGAGCTGCTGACCCCGGAGGAGTGCAGCCACTTCCGGACGCTCCTAGAGGCGCCCGAGCCCAACGTGGAGGCCGAGCTGGCCCGGCTTTCCGAGGACCGGCTGGCGCGGCCCGAGCCGCCCACACCCTCGCGGGGGTCTCCGGGGAGGCGAGGCCTAGGGCAGCCGCGGCGGCGGGAGAGAGCCCCGCAGTCCGCGGAGGAGGGGCCGAAGGACGCGCCGACCCAGCCCCGGGAGGCCTCCGACCGCTGTCGGGAGGCGCTGGCGTCCTGGCTGGCCTCCCAGGCCCCCGCCCTGTCTTGGGACCGCGTGGCCCGGGCCCTGCGACGCAGCGGCCGCCCGGACGTGGCGCGAGAGCTGGGCAAAACCCTCCACCAGCAGGCGGCGCTGCAGCTGCGTAGGACCGGGCAGCGCTACCTGCCTCCCGCGGCCCTCGCCCCGGCCCGGGCTCCCGCCCGGACCGCAGCCCCAGCCCTCCGCTCCCGCCGCGCCGCAGGCCCCGCGCCCAAGTGGGACGAACTGGAGCTGATCGTGGAGCGTCTGCCGCAGCCGCCGTACGAGCGCAGCCCCGCGGGTTGGGCCGGGCCGCTGGCGCTCGGCCTCCTCAGCGGCTTCGTCGGCGCGCTGGGCACCGGGGCGCTGCTCGTCGCGCTCACGCTGTGGACCACTGGCGGCGACGGCGACCCCGCGGGCCCGGCTGCTGGGACACACAGCCGCTCCCGCCCCGGACCCGGCCAGGCAGGCGCTCGCCCCAGTGCCCGCCGCTGTGAACCGCGAGCACCGCTCACGAGGGCTACTTTACGTTTCTAAGTTTACAGACGCTCGGTGGAGGGAGCGGTCAGGTGTAAGATGGTTGGAAATGGCCAGCCTTGGCTCCGGGCGCGGGCTCTGGTGCCAGGGTCGCATGGTGGGGCGTCCCCAGTGCTGGCCAGCCTTTCTTCCCTCTCTGCAGCTACCCTCCCGCCAAGAGCTACGGCTTACTGAGTGCCAGCCCTGTGCCCGCTGTGCTATTAAATACACTCTTCAGAATTCAAAAAGGAAGGGGTTTCTCCATTACATGCCAGGAAATCGCGCATCACTCCTTCGTGCCATAGTGGGGTTTTGGGGCCCAGAGCTGTCTGACCTGTAAGTTTGCGCCTCAGAGGATGGCACATACGGAGGTTTGAGGCACCCTTGGGGACCAGAACAAGATGTGCAGTTCCCAGCCCTGCTGGAGTGTGGGACACTCAGCACCACTCAGACAAGGCCTCCTGAAGGCCCAGCAGGAACCTGGCCCTTTCCCAGCCACTTTTGAACAGCCCCACCCCCACCCCACCAAGAGGCCCAGCCCAGGTGAACCAGAAGGACCTAGGCTGCAGGGCTTAGGGAGACAGCCATGAAAAATGACAGGCCAGTCCAAGAGGAGAGTTGAAAACAAGATCGACGTAACCCTTTATTGCAAATTCTAAAGTAAAAAGATGTACAGTACAAAGTAAAATTGAAATTTCAGACTATAAACTTCCAATCCACTTACACATTCTCATTTCTCAAGCATTTCTGCCATTTCCGCATAAACAGAACAGGGAACAAGTCGAGGGGGCAGGGAAAGAGATACGGGTGGGGGACACTTAGAAGACTCACAAAGCCCAGAAGCAAGTGAAAGGAAAGACATTTCACGACCTGCTGTCCTGGTGATGAGAAGGGGGGATGGGGGGAGCAGTGCACTTTAAAATGGCTCTCAGAATAGCAGCGTTTATGGTACTATTTCACCTTAGGTCCAAAGAATACTTCACCCTTCCCTGGCGCCTTTGTCTCTGTATCTCAGAACGCGTTACAAAACATTTAGTTAAAGCCTCACAACACCCCTGTGAGGTAGGTCAGTATTATTATCCCCATTTTACAGATGGGGAAACTGAGGCACAGAGAGGTTAAGTGACTTGCCCAAGGCCACACAGCGAGCCAGCGGTCAAACTAGGGATGGAACAGAGTTCTGTTCTGTCCCTTTTCTGTAACCACTGAACCACACTCCCCTTTACCTATATACATTCTTCGCACACACACACGTGCATACCTGCCCGCTCCACCCCACTTAGCCTCTATGTACAGCAAACAGCAGTGGGGGCAAGTTGCAGGGGCAGGGGTGCCTCAGGAGCATTTTACTGAAGGAAGTCTTGGCAGTCTTGAAAAGAGATCCCAAGATGCAAAGAGCAAAGCCACAGCCCAGACTCTTGTGCAAATCTTGGGCCTCTTCCATGCCAGACTCCCTCTTCTCTCCTGATGGCCCCCTGGCTGACTAGTTGCAGCTGATTCTTTAGGGGGTGGGGGGTACCTGAAAATGAATGAAACTTTTTGCAAAACTTTGGGCAACATCTGAGGAAAGAAAGAGGCATTGTTACAGAGGATGCCAGGACTCAAGTTACAAAGTCCTAATCATGGCAAACACCTCCACAGCAGGACTGGAGGCTGGGGCTGAGGGACAAGGGTGGGGACTGACCTACCAGCCTTCTCTCCAGGTTCAGCTACTGGAGTGGATTAGAGTGGGCACTTCAAGATCCTCCTGAGTGTTCCTAGACCACGAGACATGGCCTAAAGAGGGATGTCCCCGAGGGGTGACCCCTCCCTTGCACAAATGTGAAGGGGACAGCCCTAATCTGTTGGCCAAACAATGGGGGTGGATGAAGGGCAGGGCCCAGTGCCAGCTAGCAGAGTGGAAGCTGCTGGGCAGCGTGCTTGCCGTAGCTTTGGGAAATGGGGGCATTTTGGTTAAACCATATTGATGGACAAAGCAGAAGGCCAGTCCAGCTGGGTTGGCCGAAGTCATCTCTGGGGCTCCACTGGGTAAGTTTGGTGTGGAAGGGGTCTTATGGGCCTGTAAGTTCCATCCCAAGGGAGTAATGCCACGTGCAGTGGGCACGCAGGGACCTGGGAGGTTAGGACCTGGCTTTTCTCTGTAGTCTCTACTTAGCCAGAATAGGGAAAGGCCCTGATTCCCCACCTCCCTTCCCTTCCTTTCCTCTAATGTGCCAGGATCCCAGTTCCCAGATCCCTCCCAGAACTCAAGAATTGGGAAAGTCAAGCAACAAACACACACCAAGACAGGCTTCCCTCATGTGGTAAAAAGGGTCATTTTTATTGTTTCCTTTTGGTTTATAGTAGTGATTGGTGTTTTTTTTGTTGTTTTTTTGAATCACGTCTCATTTAGGGCAGCGTTGGCCTCCATGCAGTCACTAATACACTATTGGTCTTTTACAGTTTACATTGGTTGTGGCGAAAAAATGAAAGAAGTGCTCTGGGCACTGTGGCGCCCTCTGCCCAGCCAGCTCTGGGTGCCCGAGCGGTTCACAGAGAGACAGTGAGAGCAGGCCATATGGACTTGAGTTTTCCTGCCCTCACCCTCTATTTTAGGCTTCCCAGCCTCTTCACCCTAAGCCACAAGGAGGTCAAGGACGAGGGGAGGGTCTTCACATAAACCAGCAGCGGAGGGGCTTTGGCTCTGCGTTTTAAATCAACAGCATCACATAACTTCTTACTTTTTGTCTTTTTTTTTTTTTTTCTTTTTTTAAAGGTGGATTGTGGAATATAAATACTGCACCAAGGACCCGACTACAAAAAATAAATATTTATATATTTATATATCTCTATATATATGCGCAGTGGTACTGTGGCTGCTGCTGCTCTTTGATTGGCTTCGTGAATATTTGGCAAAGCGTGGCCATTTGCTCACTCAGTGAGGATGCTGATTCTTTAGGTTCAATGCCTGTTAACTGCAGTTGTGAGCTGCTGGTGATGGTGTCATTTACTACCAAAGAAGGTGGAGCAGGATGGTGAGAGAGGAAGGGCGTGGCTGGGTGGGGGAGCGACATGTAGGAAGAGTTTAAAAGAGGGAAACGAGAGCAAGCAGAGAGGTGGCTTCTTTCCTACAAAGCTGGAGATGGGTGTCAGAGGCCAGGGCCCATGTGCTACTGAGGAGGCAGCCTGCAGGGCTGGGTCGGGAGCTGGGGGGAGGAGGAAGGTCAGATCTAGGCTCTAGTAGCTTAATGACATCACGAGCATGGTGCTTGGTATACCTACCGTGATCTGATAGCTGTTGCCCATCTCAAGACCTAAGAACAACTATTAAGTTTAGCCAAATCTTGCATAGAAGTGGTTAGAATTTATTGCACATTGGAACAAAAATATATATTTTGTGTTGTTTTGGAAAAGACCATTAGCAATAAAAAATTTTTTGTCTGTCTGTCTGGTTGGGGATGTACATTGGCTGATAGCATCTAAGTTCTAAGAAGAAAGGAAAGTATAAAAAATAAAAATAAACATGACAATGGCATAAGCCAGAAGCCATTTCCTATTTAATAAGTTAATAATTTGTATTTACAAAAGGCATGCCAATAAAATAAAATTATATATTACAGTATTTATAATTCTCTTAAAAAGAATAACCACACACGTCAGCTTCCATTTTGTGCTGTTTACAACATTGCCTGTACGTGGTTCTATACATTCGTCCTAGCTGTTAGCAGGGCACTGAGACACACCTTCTCGAGCTGGTCTTGGGTGAGGTGTGGACCACACGATGGTGCCACAGAAGCAGGCTTAGGAGAGCTGGACAGTCTCTACCAGTCCAATGAGATACAAAGCTCTGCTCACTGACTGGCTGTGGTGTGTTCTATGCAAAACTAGTCAAGTGGACTGTGAGTTTACATCCAAAGTGCTTCTACTGCAAGGCAGATTGGTGTGTCTGATGATGGGTTGTTCTTTTCCCTCTACTCAATGCTCAGGGAGGATCTGTGTTGATTTGGTTCACACGCAAAAGTCTTTCCTCACTCTTCAAACAGACTTCCTGACACCTTCAACTGCAGCATCTTGGCTTTGACACCCGGTGTTCAGGTGAGATACCCTGGACTAAGAACTGTCTCTCATAAAGCAGGAGATGGAATGACACTCCCCCAGCAGCCACCCTGCAGTGGTAATGGGCAGATAACAAAGCAGAGAGCAAGGTGAGCTGAAAGGGTGATGCCAGGGGCAGCTGGGCAGCCCTGAAGAATGAATACTGAGTCGGTTTCTCAGGAAAAGTAGTGCAGTAACAAAGCCAAATGGGCTTGGTGCAGAGGCAGTTCTATTTCTACCTCAGGTCCTGCTAGGGACTATTATTCTAATCATAAATGGAAGAGCCCACAGCCATACCCCAAGCAATGCTGTTGCCCCCACCCAGCCCTGGACAGCTGAGAAGGGAAGCCCTGCTTGTGGAGGAGTATGAAGCAAGCAGAAGGAATCACTCGGGTGGCAGCTTGTGACAAGCTCTCCGCTGGAGAGGCCAGTGCAAAATATCCGAACCCCTCTCCATGTTGACCCAAACCCAGAGAAAGCCACAATGCAGAAAGACATGACACTGAATGAAGTGAGCACCCCATAACCCCAAAGAAAGGTTGGCTTTAAGGTCCCCCATATGCCCGTAAAAATAACATGCTACTCTGAATAGCACTCTTATCTCTACTCCAAGTGTCAGTTCTCCCGTATAAAGGCTAAACAATCATCATAAATATTGCAAGATACAAATGAACTTTTTGTTGTTTTGTTTTGTTTTGTTTTGTTTTTAGCCCTCAGCTTTGGTTTTACAGTGACGTTAATAGTACAAGCCATTCGGGGCCAAAGTCTCCCCATGTACTGGACAGAGCAGCATTAAAATAGTTCATCTTGCAAAATATGCAGCAATGGCTGTATGTTAGAGATGTCTGTTAAACATGTACACACAACGGATCCATCTGCTTGTTGGGCTGGGTTTGTTTTTGTTGTTGGTGGTGGTCAATTGCTTAGTTATGTTTTCCTACCCAGAGGTGTACGAACGACTTCTAAAGAACTCAAAGAATCGCAGCCGGTATGGAACTCTTACCATTTCTCCAAATACAGTGAACAGTGCAGGGCTGGGTCCTGTCCAAAGGCTAACCCAATGCAGGGGACAGGATTAGTAGTGTCCTGTGGTGTATGGATCTCATGCATGACTTCTGATCACAGCATGCCATCATGCAAATCATTTCTACGCATTGAACGAGCACAATATTTGGAATTGGCCTGAGCAAGTCCTCCTTAGCCTGAAAAAAACCTGATTGTTTCCCCCACCCATCTCCAAACCATGTGAAGCCCATGAGGAGAAGATGCAGTTTATGTCAAAGAAACTGACAATTAATGACGTAGGCTAAATGTGACCGTGTGAGTGTGTGTGTGCGCGTGTTTCTTTTTGCTGCTTAGCTTAACTAATGTAAGAATGCAAATATAGTTTGCATGAACAAACAAACTTTTAAAGTGATACTTTCTGCTTCTGAGACTCAACAAATGAAAAAATAAAATCCATTTGGCTGCAACGGAAATCTGCTGGTCCCAGCAGCCTCCTCTGTTTTTTGTATCCTGTTAGTTTAGTCCTAAGTTGCATTGACTGAATGTGGAACATGCAGTAACCACCTGCCCAAGCAATAGAAAATCCGTGAGTCCAGGGAGCAGGGCCCTTTGCCCTCGGCAGGTCACTGCTCAAGATGCAACCATGTCACATGATAAGCAGACTACGTTTGGTATAGATCTTCAAGTTACAGTGTCTCCACAGCTGTTCTGCATTGGTAAGACTCAGGAAGTTTGTAAACAATCTTTCACTTGCGAGTTTTAGTATGGGATTTCATTTTTGCTCTCCTCTAACACTTGGACTCTCGGACCTCTTTCTGTCTTTTGGCTTTTTCCCTTCTTCCTTCCTCTGCCCGCTGTTGCTGCTTCTCCTTATCAGGTTTTGTTACGCTGTCATAGGAGGGGAGGGAGGCTGTAGATGGGGTGCTCTCTTTTTTCTCACGGTGTGTGCCTCCGTTCTCCAGCTTATTGGAAGTCATCTTTTTGCAGATGAAGCCTCGTCTAGCCAGATGCCCCCGGTAGGCGCGCTGCAGGACCACTGCACACACCTCTTCCTGCTTGCGCCGCAGTGTGGTTGTGATGGGCTCATAAGACACTTTGGAAGGATTGGATGCCACGAACCGCTCCTCCATCTGCTGCCGCAGGATGTCCAACTCCCCGCTGTCTCCCAGGACCCGCTTGGTGAAGGCGAAAAGGATGTCCAAGCAGTGGATTCGATCACCACTCACCATGGGCAGATCCATGGCGATGAGCTCAATGGTGTTGGGCTTGGGCACTCGGAGAGGATGCTCGAGGGCATCTGCAAAGTCTGCCAGCTTACAGTACTCAATGAACTGGGTGGCGTCAGGGTCAAACTTTTCCCAGATCTCATAGAAGGTCTCAAAGTCATCCTCACTCAGAGGGTCAGCACTTTCTTCTGTGGCTACACTGAAGTTCTCCAGGATGATAGCAATGTACATGTTCACCACAATCAGAAAGGAGATGATGATGTAGCTGACGAAGAAGAAGATGCCCACTGAAGGGTTCCCACAGTCCCCCTTGAAGCCACTCCCTGGGTGCTCCTTGTCCAGGCTGCAGTCAGGGGGACGGTTTAGGATTGGCAGCAGGAGGCCATCCCAACCAGCTGAGGTCGTGATCTGGAACAGGCAGATCATGCTGTTGCCGAATGTCTCAAAGTTGAACATGTCGTCAATGCCAGCCTCGTGCTTCACATATGCGAAATTGGACATCCCAAAGATAGAGAAGATGAACATGACAAGGAAGAGCAGGAGGCCGATGTTGAACAGGGCAGGCAAGGACATCATTAAGGCGAACAGCAGGGTACGAATCCCTTTGGCGCCTTTGATCAGACGCAAGATGCGCCCAATTCGGGCCAATCTAATGACTCGGAATAGGGTTGGGGAAACAAAGTATTTCTCAATGATATCAGCCAGGAACATTCCTAAAGGAGGAACAGAAGATGTGATTACTGAGGTCAGAGACACCCTTCTCTTACCTGACATTGTGGAACTCCGAAGTTCAAAGGGACTACTTGATCTGAATCCTCATAGTAAAAAAGATTATACATTCCAAACATATAGAAAAGTAGAGAAAACAGCAACACAGACACCATGTACAACTCACAGATTTAATAGAAGCCAGCCCCTAACCAAATCTGTTTCCCCTCTCCCCCCACAGAAGCATCCGAAAGCCCCAAAGGTTTTAGTATGTGTTTTTATAGTTTTACTATGTATGAATCTGTTAATAATATATGGCGTCCTACTTTATATAGGAAATTAAACATCTTTCTAGATCTACATATTTAGAACTCTAACTGGTTTTTGTTTACAGGACCGGCTCCCCAGATTAGAACAACTTTGCACTATTCCTTTGCATGCTTACATAGTGTTCCCTGTATGAACAGGTCCTTATTTTCTTCTTTTAAATTTTGGTTATTATTTTTATTTTATGTACATGAGTATATTGCCTGCATGTATGTAAGTGCACCCCTGTTGTGTGATGCTTGAGGTGGTCAGAAGAGGGTGTCAGATCCCCTGGAACTGGAATTACAGACAATTGTTAGCTGCCCTGTGGGTGCTGGGAATTGAACTGGGTCCTCTGCAAGAGCAGCCAGTGCTCTTAACTGCTGAGCCATCTCTCCAGCCCCAGGTCCTCATTTTCTGTATCCACAAACACGAATGAGAGGTCCCAGTTTCACCCGGACAGTACTACCCTTTGACTTTCATATCAGTTATTCTCCTAATGCCACAAATTTCCAATGTGTCTTTTTCTTGGTTTGTTTCTTACACTCCCACCCTCTCCCCCCTGACCCAGAACTTATTCAACCAAGCTAGCCTAGAAAATTAAAGGGGCTGCTCAGGAATGGATTTCAACTTAGTAGTCCTAGATTTTGAGCTGAAAGGCATAAAGCAAAAACCAGTTTCAGCAGGTAAAATGCAGGCTTAAGTAGGGTGTAGAAGTAGAGGCAAAGTGGACAAGTCGGAGGGCCTTTTCTACATCCACTCCTCTGTGGCCCCAGCTCAAGCAGACCACTTGTCTTTAAAACTAAAGAACAGGGGGCTGAAGAGATGGCTCAGTGGTTAAGAGCACTGGCTGCTCTCACAGAGGACCTGGATTTGATTTCCAGCACCCACATGATGGCTAACAACTGTCCATAACTCCAGTTCCAAGGGATCTGACACCCTCTTCTGATCATTTGTGGGCACTGCATGCCACGGGTGCCCCTACCTACGTGCAAGCATACACATAAAATAAAATAAAATATTTTTTAAAACAACTAAAGAGCAAGAGGAGCCAGAGGAAAGGAGCTGGAAAGACCCAGAGGGAAGCGGGAGTGAGCACTCACTAGATGCTGTTCCTTGCCTTCTAGGTCCTGACAAAGAACATGAACTGGACATGAAGCTTTTAATTAAGGAAGTGTCTCAACTGTAAGAATTCATAAATGCAGAAGGCCTCATTTGAAGAGTTTAGGCCAGAAAGGAATCTTACTTTCCAGGAAGGAAGAGGTGTACGTTAGCAGAGCAGGTCAGGTGCCCTCGTTTTCAGGGTGAGACTGCCTGAGTACTGGCACATTCCACAAAAATCTCTACCTTAGCCAAGACTCGAGACTTCTCAGCTTTCTTCTGTTATTTCTCAATTAAGTGAAACCAACAATCTTAAGAAGCAAGGTGCTATAATATGCACTGTAAGTAACAGTGCATCCCATATATGGTGGGTAAGTAAGGCTTCAGAGACATCGTGATGCCTAACAAAGGCCTGAAAGATGTCAAGTCAAGGGTACTGCAGATACTTACAGAACAGTTTAACTCCTCTTAAAAATACTTTTATTAGCCAGGCATGGTGGTACACGCCTTTAATCCCAGCACTTGGGAGGCAGAAGCAGGCGGATCTCTGTGAGTTCAAGGCCAGCCTGGTCTACATAGTGAGTTCCAGGACATCTGGGGCTACGGGAGACCCTGTCTCAAAAAGACCAAAAAAAAAACCATTTTTATTAAATTTTATCTATTTTATGTGCCTGTGTATGCACATGTGCCATGGCATGCACGTGGGGGCAGGGAGTCAAGAGTTGGTTCTTTCTTTCTACAATGTGGGTCCCAGAGACTGAATTCAAGTCTTTAGGCTAGGTAGCAGGTGCCTTTACCTGCTGGGACATCTCACCAGTCCTCCTTCCCTTCCTCCTCCCTTTCCCTCCTCCCTCTTCCTCCTCCTCTTCCTCCTCTTCTTCCTCTTCCTTCTCTCTCTCTCTCACACACTTTCTTTTTTTGAATCTTTTTGAGCAAGATCTCCCTGTAGCTCTGCCTGCCTCTGCCTCCTGAGTGTTGGGATTAAAGGTGTGTGTCACCAAGCCTGGCTCTCCTCTACTTTAAAAAAAAAAATTTTATGTTGTATGTGTGTATTGCCTGCATGCAGGTAAGTGCACCTGTGTTGTGCAATGCCCGAGGAGGTCAGAAGAGGCTGTCGGATCCCCTGGGACTGGAGCCACGGATAGTTGTTAGCTGCCATGTGGGTGCTGGGATTTGAACCCAGGTCTTCTGCAAGAACAACCAGTGTTCTTAACCACTGAGCCATCTCTCCAGCCCTTCCTCTTACTTTTAAAAGAGAATTTTTATGCTTTTTGCTTTTTGTTTCTGAGTAAACTAACAGGTGATAAAAATCTCCATCATCAAAAGCCTCAATTTTGCCCTGTTTTAGAGGATAACATGAGCCTAGCATATGACTGGTCTGTGGAGTTTCTATCCCAGTCAATGAAATGTTGGCAGAAAGATTCAACGTTAGACAGGGGTACATTCCCAGTGTGTTTTCTGAGCACTAGGAGCATTGTGGCTTAGGACAAGGGGCTGGTCTTGAATCCCCATTTGCTCGCTTACCAGCCATATAGCTTGGGAACCTCTCTGGTTCCCAGTTCCCTTGACACTTAAAGGCTTGCTGTGCTGATACAGATCAACACATACAGTGCTGAGACTGGTGACCAGCTCACAGCATATTTCATTAAACCGTGAGCCCCCTTTATTACTTGCACAAAGGATGCTGTGGTCTAATAAAAGGGAACAGCACAGAAACCAGAATTCCTTACTGTCAGACTCCCAAGAGGCTCACTTCAGAAGGCTAATGTATACAAGTGATAAGATTCTCTGTGCAGTGTCACCTGAGGTAACTTCGTTTTGGGAGTCTTTTCTTGGGAGAAAGGTTCAAGACTCAGTGTCCCACATGCCAACACTTCTGGATGAACTTGGAGAGTGGCCTAGGCTAAGGGAGGCCAGCTGCCTTCTGGTATCCAGACACCAACCTTGGGAAAAAGTGTGGCCAGTGGTGCCCTGGGGCTAGCTCCCATGGTACTGAGTACTGTGTTAGTGCAAGTCGGTCAAAGCCACCTGGAATCAGGGCATTTACACAGCATTTGGGATGCCTTTCAAGAAGGCTCCTACTTCCTTTTGCTCACCCCACCAGGACGTCAACTCTGTGGGCTTTATTTGAAGGAAACATGGACTTTGGGATGAACTTGAGGTTTTCTGCCACCTGCAGGTTGAGTGGCCCATACACTGAATATAATAAAGCAGCTTGCTTCTGGGGTGGCAGTAAAGACCCAATGAGACAACTCAGGTGGAGAACTGTCTAACTACTGTTGGCCCACAGTAAATCCCTGGGAAAATCACTCCTGGCAGTGGCAGCACCTCCACGACCACTGGTCCCAGAATGTCCTTTGCTAATTCAGTTACTATCCACTGTAGCAATCTCCTTCTCTGTTCAGACTGCTATTATAGCCAAGTTCGGGATGTGTGCACATGCACACGTGTGTGTATGCATGTGTATGCATGGATGTGGAGGCCAGAGGTCAACTTTAGGTGTCAATCCTTAGGTGTTGTCCACTTGTTTCTTGAGATAGGCCTCTCACTGGCCTGGAATTCACCAAACAGGCTACGCTGGCCAGCCAATGAGCCCATGGGATCTGTCTGTCTCTGCTTCCCCAGTGATGGGATTATAAGTGTACATACCATGCCCAGACTTTTTCTTACGTGGGTTTTGTAGATGAAACTTCAGTTTTCATGCTTGCATAGCAAGCATTTTACTGATTGAGCTAGCACCCTGGCCCACAGCCACATTTTAAAAACGAAAAATTTCTTTTTACTATCTCTAGTAGACTTTAAATTCCTTCAAAGCAAGAATCAAATTTTATCTTTTCCCGAGCCACAGCATTTACAATCCAAGAGTGCTGGGGACAGTCAGTAGGACACACTGCCTGCCCAGGCAGGTCTGTTTGAGACATCTGAGAAGCACATGTGGGTATGCTCTGAGGGACACCTGCTTACACCTGACTGTAATTTGCTGCTCCTCATGAATTCTCCTCAGCTGGTCAGGGCCCTTCCCCTCCCTCCAGCCTGCCGCACTCACCCACAATGGAGAGGATGACCACCACAAAGTCAAAGATGTTCCAGCCGATGGTGAAGTAGTAGTGCCTCAAGGCAAACATTTTGAGCACACACTCACAGGTGAAGAAGATGACGAAGACCAGATTAATCCAATACAGAATGTTCTCCATCTGCTTGCTCTGAGTGTCTGTCTCCACCATCATTGTCACCATGTTAAGGCAGATGAGCATCATGATAACAATGTCAAAGGCTTGTTGAGTGACAAAATCAAAGACGATTCCTTGGATTTTGTTCTAGGGAGGGAGGGAAGCAAAGATTCCTAAGGACTCATGAGACCCTTTTCCAGCAGACCCATGGGAGCTGCCCTGCTTGCCCCCTGCTCGGTGCCTGCTCCGTGCAGTCTTGTTGGCGATAGTGGCCTCCTCTGTTGTGCACCAGGAGCACAAACATCAGAGTGGACTTTCTCAGAGCTTCCCGTTGCTATTCTCTCCTAAGCCATGACACTGCCCACATCCGGAGGGCTGCGCCCCACCCCGGCTGGCCCCTTTCAGTCCTCGTCCTCTTAATTTCTTTTCTGATACTTGACTTTTTAATATTACTTTTAAATTTTTATTTGATGTGTATGAGTGTATTGCCTGCATGTATGTAAGTGTACCCATGTTGTGCAGTGCCCGTGGAGGTCAGAAGAAGTCGTTGGATCCCCTGGAACTGGAGCTATGGATGGTTGTTAGACACCATGTGGGTGTAAGGTGCTGGGAACTGAACCCAGGTCCTCGGCAAGAGCAGCCAGTGCTTGTAACTACTGAGCCGTCTCTCCAGCCCCTCTTCTGATACTTAGACTGGGAGAGCTGGTCTGCTGCTACTGCTGAAGGCACCTACACTTACACTTCTCTTTCAAAAGCTCCGATGACCCACGAGAGTCTCAGGTTTACCATGTCCACGGCAGAGCAGAGTGCTTGCTCCCTTGCTGCACCCATCACGCAGTTTGAGCGTCTGTATCATTCATCTTGGCTCTCAAGCCGGAGAGCAGAGGGTCGTCCCTGCCTCTTCTCCATCCTCCATACATAGTAAGAGAGGGTGTCACTCTGTAGTTCAGGCTGGCCTGAAATTAAACTACGTAGCCTACACTGGCCTGGAACTTCTTCCTCCTGCCTCAGCCTTCTGAATGCTCAGGTTACTGACCCTGTGTGAGTGTGTATGATTATTTTTATTTTTAATTATGTGTATGTGTGTATGTCTGTGTGTAGGTATGTGCATGTGAGTTGCAAATGCCCATGGGTGTCAGGGGAGGGGGAAGATCACGTGGATCCCCTGGAGCTGGAGTTACAGGCAGTTGTAAGCTGACTGATATGGTGTTGAGAACTGAACTGGGGTCTTCTGCAAGAGCAGCACACATCTTAACCGCCAAGCACCTCTCTAGTCCCCATGAGTTCTTATATTTTAATGTGGAAGAAAATGTGCTCTGGCTCCCAAATAAAGATTTCTGAACATTTCTAGGGAACGTTAAACCTTCCCTGTTCTCTTTATCTCCACTTCTGGCACAAGGAGAAGGGAACACACGTGAAGGAAACACAACTCTTTCTTAAAATCCTAGTGTGATGGTTACTCTTCAACTGTCAACTTGATTGGACTGGAAAGCACACAGGAGATCAGTAAAGCACACCTCTAGATAAACCTGTGAGGTTTACATAAGGGAGGGGAGACCTCCTTCTGTAGGTTGGGGGCACAATGGAAGCGGGGGATGGGGCAGGAGGTTCTCTCTGTTTCCTGGTCACCAGGATGTAAGCTGCATTGCTGTCACACCCTCCCTGCCACGATGTGGGGCACAGAAGCTGCAAAAACAAGGGCCAAAGTGTGTTTTATTATTTGAGATAGTGTGTCACCATGTAACCCAGGCTGGCCTCCAACCCTGTGGTCCTCCTGCCTTATTGCCACCATGTCTGGCTACCAAATCCTACCTTGAACTGGTAGGAAAGGGATCCACTTTCATTCATTTTTCTTTGCTCATTTCTGGTTGTCTCTCAAACGGTCCTCCTGCCTGGCCCAGAGCCAGTGTGCTGAGCACGCTGAGTCTCTGCTGACTCCCAAGGGGGACTCTAAGTCACTAGGGGAAAATAGGACAGGTACTAGGGAAACCCACTTCCCTCCTATTCCTGTTCTGCTGCTGTCGTACTCAGAGATTTTGGAGGGAGCATCTGGAGAAGATCAGCAGGCATTAGGTAGCCAATAACTCACTTTCTTCTTCCTTTGTAGTAACCCTAGCATGTTCTTTCCAAATAGATGGGCTGCATGCCCTCAGCCAGCCCAGTGTACTTACCAGTGGGCGGGGAATGGGCTTCTGAGGCTTCTTTGAGCCCAGCTTTTTCATGGCATTGTAGTACTTCTTCTGTTCCTCTGTCATAAAGATGTCCTGACCTCCAAAGTAAAGGAGGAAGAAAGAGGATGATTACAACTGGCTCTGAGTACCAAGACTTAGGATCTAAGGTTCAGCACTGACAATGGAAGAGACATTCCTTTTCTTCCCAGAGGTCAGGTTAGTTGCGTGCTTGCCACACCTGGCACCATTACTCTGGTCAGAGATAGTCGCCTTATTCAGCTTATTCGGCTGAGATCTGCCAGGCCAGATAGTGGGAAAACAGGCTGTTTAATGACGGGCTCTTAGGGAAGGTAAGCTGGAGGGCAAAGACTCAGAAGACAGTCACATCACACTTCTCATTATATTTTTCTCTCCTGATTTTCCTATAAAACACTAGAAAAAATATTTTTTGAGACAGTCTCTTACTATGAAATCCTGGTGGGCCTGGAACTTACCACGTAGACCAGGTTGGCCTTGGACTCACAGTTAGATCTACCTGCCTCTGCCTCTCACGTGCTGGGATTAAAGGTGTGTGACCATGCCAGATAAAATATTTTAAAATGTTATTATTTTTATTTTATGCATATCAATGTATTGCCTGCATGTGTATAAGTGTACACATGTGTGCAGTGTCCACAGAGGCTGGAAGAGGGCATCAGATTCCCCTGGAACTGAAGCTGTGGACAGTTGTTAGCCACCATGTGGGTGCTGGGAACTGAACCTGGGCCCCCGTAAGAGCAACAAGTGTTCTTAACTGTGAAACCATCTCTCTTGTGGTAAAAGGTCCATTTATTTTTTTATGAAATACAAACTTTGGAAAATTTGGTATAAGAAGGGCTGCTTGGAGTTTCTTGGAGCTTGCTGGACAGACTAAACTCACAAATGAATGACAAGAGTAAGTCTGTCAGCCAGTTTGCTTTGGAAGAACTGTTACCCATCTGGAATAAGCAAGGGTGTGAACTCTCTTGAGGGTAACCGCTCAAATCCCATTGTGGGGTGCCCGGGAATTATTGGAGGATTCTAAGTCTGGGCCAGTTCTGTTTCCCACTAGCATCATCTGCTTCTTTCCTGTCACAAGGTGCCCCACCTTCCTCAGACAGGAATGGACTGGAGAACAGAAGACGGCAAATGGAGTAAACCAACCCCTGCAAAGTTCAGCCTTGAACTCAGAGTCAGTTGGGGCCAGTGCTACCATGTGGTGACAATATGAGCTTTAGAGGAAGATAGAGGGCGTTCTCTCCCCAGGGACAGGAACAGCCTCTTGCCAGGGCTGGCCTCTGACCACTGGCAGTGAGGGAGGGAGACCTATCTTTTTCTTTTGTTGATTGAAGTTATCAATGATGACACCAATGAACAGGTTCAGGGTGAAGAAGGAGCCGAAGATGATGAAGATGACAAAGTAGATGTACATGTAGATGTTGTCCTCATACTTAGGCTGCTCGTCAGGCTGTCAAAGGACAGAAAGATTCAAGTCAGCTCCTGGCTCAGGGATCGGTGAGTGATTCCAACATGTCTTATTCTCCCACTCGTGTGGCTTAACAAGCTGGAGGTGAGACACTAGGCTCTCTGCCCTCTCCTACCCCACCTGCCCTGCTCAGGCCCCGTCACTGCTGGGCCTTAGGAATCATGAGGCAAGGGGAGGAAGAGCTGTCTGCTGGAAGCCACACTTTCACTTCAAAGCAGGACTGAAGGGTCGCCAGCACCACTGGGACGAAGTAAACATCAGGGTCTAATTGTCTGGAGCCAGTGTGAGAACGAGGACTTACTGGGAGGAGGGAAAGGCTCCATAATCAATATGATAAGCAATTAGTGTCCAAAGGGACACTTCAGGCCCTTCCTCCCTCCCTTTCTTTCTTGATGGATCTACCACACGGCTTACTTTCTACTCACTTAAGCTGGTTGCATTTAACCACCTGTATCCTTACCTTTCGGGAATCTACGGCTGCATACATGATGTCCATCCAGCCTTTAAAGGTTGCCTGGGAAACAGAGACAGTCATTAGACTGTGCCAGTTAAGGAGTAGATAGGAGTCTAGCGTAGGGTCTCAAAAGCCAGGTTCAAGGGTCTCAGGCTTAGGTTCAGTGAGAAGATAGGACAGAAAGTTTAGACTATATGGACATAAAATTTCCTTTTATTAAGAAAGGTCCCAAAGGGGTTTTGGGTAAGTCCCTGAAAATATCATCAGAGTTTGGCAAAGACACATATGGGCAGTGATAACTGGATCAATATTTTCACACGAGGTCTGAGAGTGGCTGTCCATAGGGAAGGCAAATACTCTACGGGAGTGAAGAACAGCAAGAATCCACTAGTGTGCCTGGACGTTCAACAAGAAGCCACTCCATAAAAAGGAGTTACATAAGCACCAAGGGCCGGAAAAACTCACAGGTGCATTAAACAAACACATAGCCATGGAACTCTTGCTTCTGGCAGTGGCATACCCCTCAGCTCTCCTCAGTCTACTACAGCTACCAGGACTCACAAGACACACGGGACAGTCAGCTTAACATGCTCTGGCTTCTCTTGTGCGAAAGATTCTAGGCTTTGTCAGGGGCCTGAGAAGGTCGGTCTTTACTCATCAGATGACTGTACTGCCAAGCACCGGCTACACATGATGCGGACTGTGCATACACCTGGGGCTGACTGGCTGCATTCTGAAGCTGCTCAGATTCAAGTCATGAGCCCAATTTCTTTTTCTTTTTGTGGTCTTGCCCAAGTCAGGCAAGGACTCTACCCTTCAGCTATAGGCGTAGCCAAGGAGGCCCAACTTCTAGAACTGGTCTAGAAAAGCAAAAGAGATTTGGTGTGGAATAAAGCACGGCTCGTTTTGTTAGGTTTGCCTTCTGCTGCTGTTTAACAGTGAGTACTTGCTTAGCATGTGTTAGGCTAGGCCGAGTGCTTCCCCTGCAACTGAATGATGTGGGCATGGTAATAACAGGGATAAAAAGACAAAACAGCAATTACCATTAATTAAGCACTGTTTTGTGCTAAGAAAATTTTTTAAAAATCAAAAATTCTCCTAATAACTATGCAAGGTATTATTATCTATGTTTAACAGCAGAAACAAAGGGTCAGGGAAGCTGAGCAGTTTGCTCTAAGTCACACACTCAACAAACATTAGCGTGTGACTCAGCCCCACACCTGTCTGATATAAAGCCTACAAGCTTTCACTGCAGCATACTGTCTAACCCAACATGGATCCCTTGATAGTGATCCTGATTCTGGTAACAGGGCTGAGACGGAACCAAATGGGATCTCTGCTGACAGTCCACAATGTCCCAGGTCTGAAAAAATAACACTTACTACTTGAAGAAGAGCCAGATACCCTGCCCCGACGTTGTCAAAGTTGATCTTCACATTCTTCCATCTGATCTCTGTGTTGTTCCCCTCCATGAGCTTTTCACACTCAGTTTTATTGTTGACAATGTCAGGAATGAAGCGGATTTCAGAAGTCTCATTAAAGCAGTAGTGGTACTTTCCCGCAAACAGGTTAACTCCCATGATGCTGAAAATCAGCCAGAAGATGAGACACACCAGCAGCACATTCATGATGGAGGGGATGGCGCCCACCAAGGCATTCACCACCACCTGCATTGGAAGGGGAGGCTGCTGAGTGCTGGCAGGAAGTGGGGGAGACACATTCTTTTGATTTCCAGGAGGGGAATGACATTCTGTGGCTTGATCTGCCATAAAAACATCATATTGTCTTTGGAATTAGAGTAGCTGGATGTCCACAAATAGGACCCCACATTTCTAAGTTTCTGAACTATATCTGGGCAAATTTTAATAAATTAGGCTTTATTGAAATGAATACAAACTCCCCTGCCCAAGTTGACCCTGATCTTTTCTAGGCACCAACCTGGGACCAAAAAAAAAATGATTTCTTAGTCCAGTCTCCCTCCTCTTCCTTCAACTGACAAAATATGCCCCCACAGGAAAATCTGAGCCATTGCAAGCTCACTAGTCGTCTTTCAACAGACATTCCCCCTCTGAAAAACAAGGTGATTGTTCAAAATCACAGAGCGCTGCCCTTTGGGTTAGCGTGGTACAGAACGTCTCTTTCATGACTATGCAAGGCCAGTTATCTTATTTCAGGCAATAGCTGAGCATGCATATTTTGCAGGCTCAAGAAAGAAAAAAAATAAAGCTATATTCCCTCTACCAAATGGTTTAAAATAAAATCTGAGCAGATGTGGTTTTCACTCAAGGTTATTTTTCTGCCTTTCTTCTGACTCTCTCGACCTCTCAATCAAAGAGCTGCCCTGCTTGGCAGATGTCTGCTCAGCTCAGGCCTTGGCTCCATTCTCAGGTTTTAGAAATCAAAATGGCTTAAGGCTTTTTGGAGGGTTTGGGGTTAAAACACTGTTCCTGAAACTAAAAACCTGGCATACTGTTAATTACTATAGTAAGCTCAGGAATTAGAAAGGAAAAAGCAAAGAACTTCATAGAAACAGAAGTTTTGTCTGTTTTAAACTTGGGTTTTGCATTATGCTAGAGGCAAGAGCAGCGAGACAACACCTACGCCGTCTTAGTTCTCAGTGCTCAGTCTTAGTCCCATGCTCACAAATGCAACACTGGAGGGAGCGGGACCAAACATAAGGCTGCCCTGAGTCTAACTTGCTCTTGTCCTAAGCAGAGCTGCTACGACTCAGAAAGGCTGCTCTGATGTGGACTGAATGCTTTTTCCTCTTTCTAGTATCTGAGGTATTAAGTCCTGATGGATTGAAAGACACTGGATAGAAGCCTGTCTCGCATTGCTTTGTTTTGAGGAGGCGACAGGCATTACCATATCCATGCATCAGTTTTCTAGTGTAGGTGAGGGCCATGATGGGCTGCCAACTGGCACAGCACAGCCAAGGCACACGGACTGTATGAAGACTGCTGGGGTAGCTCTGAGCTCCACTTTGAGCTCTATTAGGTTTATTTCCTTGTCTTCACGCTTCTACCTCAGACTGCACTCATCAGAACACGTGGCTGAGAAGAGCAACTGTTCTGTCGTATACTGAGAAAAAGCTAGGGAGTTACTCTCCATTTTGGATTAAAATACTAATTTTGTGAATCTCCAATTCAGATTAAAGGGCTTCAAATTGAGAGGCAGTTATTTCTTAATTCTTAGACCAAGAAATCTCTTCTGTATCAGATAGCCCAGTCATTAGTATAAATGTTGATTACTTCAAGCATGGTCACCCCGGATTTCTGAAATCTGGATATTTTTCGTGTTGTTTTGGAGAACACCCATTCAGTGTTGTGCATTTATCGACTCTGTTAATCAGATCTGAATTTCACCTCCTCGTCCTACAGTTGCTCACCTTTTGGTAAGAGCACCAAAAAGCAAAGACGTGCAAAAGAACAGAAGGGAGATGAGCCACAAATGGAGTGACTGTGTCTCAGACACTGACAGCAGGTTACGTGAAGATCCACAAGCTCCAGTATAGGTGGCAGCATTTTGCAGCAGAGCTTGGGTGAGACTGTGGCCAAGGAGACCATTCCCAGTGTGGGGCAGGGAGTGGTCCCCAGGTGTGGAAACTAAGAGCTGCTCAAGTCAGCTCTTCTCACTGTCTGGAGGATGCTAAGCTCTTCTTGAACTCAGTTTAACCTATCCTACATACTGTCCAGTGACAGTAAAATATGGCCAATACTTACAACAAGGAAGATTCATTAGCTAATTGAGTAGGTGATCTCTTTGAACCTTTAGTTTCACAATTCATCAAAGGATTCAATAATACAAAAGCGTTTACGAAGCCTTATCTCTAATCGGATATACAAATCCTATAACATTCAATGTTTTTTTAAAAAATATTTTATTTTAAAAAATTTTATGTGTATGGGTGTATTGCCTGAATGTGTGTATGTGCAGCCGTGTCGTGCAATGCCCATGGCTGTCAGAAGATGGCATTGGATCCCCAGGAACTGGAGTTATGGATGGTTGTTAGTCGCCATGTTGGGGCTGGGAATTGAACCCAGGTCTTCTGCAGGGCCAGTGCTCTTAACTACTGAGCCATCTCTCCAGTCCCCTATTTAATATATTTGTAAGATGTAATATACTCCCCCTCTCTGGTACTGGGGAGGGCCTCCAACATACTGGGCAAGAGCTTTTCCATTGAGCGAGTTGGTGGGATTTGCTAATCATTCTTCCTTACTGTAGACATGGCCACTAGGCTGGAAGATGAGGCAGAATGAACCATGCTCCATGTAGAACTGTCATTATGAGGTTCTCAGCAACAGAAGGGCAAGAAGGGCAAGCAGCCGTGCCTCCTTTCTCTGTCACTAGAGGGCATGCTTCTAAGGACAACTCAAGTTTTCACTGGCAGTCATGAATACGCTGGATCTCCGCTTTGCTCTCTGTTACACTCTAGTTACTTTACCTTGCCTTTAATTATGACAAAATCTTGTATTGTTAAAGCTTATATATCTACAAAGTTAGGTTCTAGCAATCTGTATGAAGTGCCATTATTCAGAGGAATCTTATGTTTAGCAAAGAATACAAATATCATTTAGTTGATGAGAAAATGCCAATGGATATTAATTCTTACATTTTTTTTTTATCATCTTTAAACTGCCTAGGGCATCTACTGTTGCTCATTAAGTGCTATAAAGTCTGTGAAATAGCTTTTAGTATCTGGCAGAGGGAACATGGCTTTAATGGACAACTATGTACTGACAATCAACAAAAATGCATGCATGTTTCATAGCATTATTATATACCCTCAACAATTTGATAGCACACCAAAATATTTAAAGACAGATTACTATGGAGGAGAGAAAAGCAAAGAACTACATTAAGTATTCCTTTGCCAATAGCAGGAGTGTTTCAATTTTCTGGTCTTTGGTTTGAGGAAGGAGAGGAGACAGAAGTGAGTATCCCAGGACAGGCTAGGGTGACATGCCCCCTTCCAAGTGAGGGGCTGAGCCTAGAATCGGAGCACAGTGACAGTTGAGCCATCTGCACGGATGGTATTTAGTTCATCAAAGTTTCTTAATTAAGCATTTTTAGTGGTAATCTTGCAAATGCTGGCACACAGAAGAACCTAAACTATGGAATGAAAAACACATGCCCCACAGGAAAATCATACTTGCATAAAATATATGCAACTAATTCTGTTTATTACTGCGTAATTTGCTATGAGCTTAGCCCAAATCCAATCTTTTCTTGCAAATACTCTTCCATAGAAGGGCTGGGAAACTTTAGGGCAGGCAGGAATGGATCCCTGGGCCCTCTCCACTTGCTCAACTAGCTGGTTAGCATTGCAGGCAGACTGGCACCAACCAAAAGCAGTGGCACCTCTACACCAAAGCCTCCCTCAGTGAACACTTCCCACTTTAACTTGAAGCTGCAGGCTCCAAGTTGTTCTTGCCCATATCACCATAACTGAAAAAGGCGAAGAACTTTTTAAAAAATAAAATTCCTTCTGTTCTGATCATCTCTTCTGGACCTCTGGACTTCAAACCTACTTGAGAGTTGACAAGTTCAAGTTTGAGGGATGGAAACTGAGAGGTCAGGGAAGGTGGGGAAAGGAGTTAAGTGGAAAAGGTGAAGTTATCAAAAGGATTCCTGCATCTGGGTTATTCAAATCACGTCCTCCTGAGGGAATGTCTCCAGTTGGTCCAGGAGGACTACTTTTGCCACAGTAACAGAGTGACAGCAATGAGCACCCAGATGGAAAGAGCACAGTGTCAGCTGTGTGTGCTGGGGGCGCTTTCTGAACATGCTCATAGTCTGTTAAGAGGTCCAGGATCCCTGCAGGACTGCAGGTTACCAGGCTGAGGTCTAATGCTGTGAGCACTCTTCGACTGAATGTTTGTAGCTGCAGTTTTTCAGCCACCAAGGTGGATTATTAAATCTAAAACGAAACTACTAAGGTTCATTTAAAAATTAGCCCTTATGAAAAATATGGCAAGGCAGGGGAGTAGAGAAGAGCATTCCAGTCCCACTGCCTTCACACTGCGGCCATCTCAACTGATGACTCTGGAGCAGTGCATTGCTCTTGACACATTTGGCCTGGCCAGAACAATGCCTGTATTGCACACATTCTGAAACCTCCCTTTTCTATAGACGAGAGACCGAATCCCAAGGTTTTTCTTTTTTAATTAAAGTGAATATGCTGTTGCAGGATGCCCTTCCTGCAGATGGCTTCCAGAGGCTACTAAAGGCTCACATTTGTAAGCCAAACTGTAACTGTGCTATAGAAGAAGCTCATTATGAAAAAGCTTTTGCTTAAATAAACTAAAATAATAAAATTCCTAAGTCCCCAGGAAAGTTTCATCTTCCTATGAGTAGCTTTGTGGAACTGTGGCCTGGGTCACAGACAGGGAATGGGCACAGCCGCACTGTCCTGGTCTCTAGTTTTATCAATCAGTCTTGCTTCATGTGGACCATTGTAATCGTTGCATTTTGTGCCTACATTCTGATATCTGCACATTTAGAAACATCCTCTGGTTTGCTCTCCTGCATGTACTCAGCATCTTAAGTGAAGCGAGTTTCTTGGTCTCGTTAAGTACAACAGACCTCTCTGATTAGCATAGGACAACTATCACCACCAAAACCAGCTGTCTATGTGATTTTTTTTTTAAGGAAATCAACTTTTTAGTGTGCATGCATACATGTGTACACACACAGTTACTAAAACCAAAAAGACAAGAAAAAGGCACCAAAAGAGGAAGCCTTATTTCTAATTTGGCAGGGTGACAACCCTGTGTATTGTCTGGACTTGGGTAGAGTATCGCCAGAGCAGGAATTGGGTGGTCTCGAGAAATTTCAGGAGAACTAACTGATATGCAGTCACCTAGCATTGTCTGCTGTTCTGATGGTGAGGACAGGGGACCATATAGCATGGGCAGAGGGGTTGGGGGTGAGGAGAAAAGCTTTGCTATCAGACAGAGGCTGCCAGTCTGGGACTGGGCTGAGAACAACAAGGTGCAATAAGAGGAATCAGAATAGAAAGAAAAGCATTTCTTCTCCCAGGGTCACGCCAAATTCTGCTCCGACCCCAAATTCCAGGCCTGCCACCCTGCCTTCAAACTCTTTCTTGGCTGTTTTCTTGATGAGCCCCGATAGCATGGACCCCATTTGGCTATCGCCCCTACCCGGCATTCTCCCTACCTGTAGCCTATGCTTTTCAGTGGGTCTCTGGGTTGTAATTCCCCTTCTTTGCACCTGGTGATTCTCCCTATAAAATCAACAGCCCCGAAAGCCACCCCAAGTGCTACAGGTAAGCCAGGCCAAGTGAGAGTAGCCAATGTTAACATGTGCTGCAACGGCATGTTGTTGGGGGTCGGCCAAGATTAATGTGATGAGGCAGCTTAATGCAACTCCCCTGCGCATGGGGCAGGTGCAAGGGAGAAAGTGGAGATCAAATCAGCAGCTGCATCACAGAATTCATGTTCGAATGATCTTCCCACCATGTGATCAGTTCTAGCATGCTTAAACAGTTTCCATTGGCATGCAGAAGGATCAGCTGCTCTTAGTATCTTACCCTCATCCCTTCAAATCGTGATAAGGCTCTTAAGGGTCTCAAAGCTCTTAGGGTCCTAAGGGACTTTATGGCACCTAGTTCCGAGTAGCCCAGGGCATTAGCTATAAGGCTGACTAAAGAAACCTACACGGAAACAGAAGAAAAAAAGAAAAAAAAAACAAAAAAAGAAAAGAAAAAGAAAACAGAGGTTCCAGAGTGTTAGAATAAAATCCCTAGCACTGATTTAACAGACTGGGCCCCCCCAGTAGAGGAAGTGGGTGACACCAGCTGCCTACTTCAACTTGACTCAAACGACCTGGAAGGAAAGGTGGTTGAGAGGCAGAAGAAAACACTAAGGGAAGAGAGAACACACACAGGGGTTGGGAAGGGAAGAGGTTGAGGGGAGAGGGAAAGAATGAGGAAGTTCCATTGGAAGGAGAGGAGCCTGAAGAGATGACAAGAACCTTACCCTCGCCCTTTACAGTCTCTGCAGCTCCCAGAGGTTCCCATTAAATTAAGCCAGACAAACTTAATGGTACCTATGGAAAAGAATACAGATAAATACACACGTTCCACACCAGATGCCCCTCCTCAGCTCAGCCACCACAGGATTTCCGACAGGGACAAGCTCTCTTATCCTGGTTGACAAGAAACCATCTGTTTGAGAATCTGATGAGTCACTACATCAATAAAGGAAACAGTGAGTACCACAGGTGATTGTCCTTCCCCAAAACTGAGCCATACAAAACTCTTTGATGGGATTCTGGCCCCATGAGAACTTCCTTGTGTAATTCTCTTTGTTCTGTTTTGTTTTTTGAGGCAGCGTCTCACTATGCAGTCCTGGCTGGCTTGGAAGTCAATATGTGAACTAAGCTGGCCTTGGACTCACATATATCTACTTGCCTCTAATTCTGGAGTGACAGGATTCTCTCTCACTTTTAACTGCAATACCCCTTCCATCTTAGAAGCCCAATCATCACCTCTTCATGGCCATAGACACCTGAATCTACTTTTCTTTATAATTCTCCTTTTTTCTTTCCAGAAACAGCTCCAAATGTGTTGGCCTCTTGTGGCAGTTCCAGAATTGTCTTCTATAACTCTCCTCATTAGCATAGTAATTAGAACTCTTAGGGAGAGAGGATCATTTTCGTTTGTAGATGAGGGAATTGGCAGTGTACACAGGACCTGAGACCCTCACTGATGAGCCCTGAGCCAGTGCTCCATCTACTTGGGTAGACTGTGGAGATCTATTCCCAGTATGCAGGTAACATGGCAATATTCCAACAGGTTACCGATATCTGAGTAATCCAGAGCTAACCTGCTGACATACTGGGGCAAGGCCTACAGGCCTACCTTTCCTGCTCTTCAAAGCAAACTTGCCTTGCTGTGTCTGAACTCTCAGAGAAGTTTCCAAGATGACTGTTAATCCTGGATACCAGCCACTCCTAAGACTGCCTAGGCCTGACTGAAGCAAGGGGGCACTTGACTCCTTTTATCAGACCGTATCTGAGAATGTTTGGGCTTGGGGTTTCTTTTATATTTATATTATGATTCTGGGATGGATTAAGATATTGCTTCTCTAATTCCCTCAACTGGGAAGTGGTGGGAAGTGGGCTAGATGTCTATTTAGCTTAATTCATGTTTCAAAGCCAAATTAGAAAAGAAAAAGACAATATATTATTTAAGTCTCATTTGCTGCTTCTGATCTTTCCTAGGGCATTAGGTCTTGATTCTGTTTCTCAACTGCTTGTATTTGTATGCACGCACGCACACACACACGCACACACACACACACGCATGCACGCACGCACGCACACACACACACACGCATGCACGTACACACGTACACACACACACACACACACACACACACAGACCTTCTTTGTTTTTTCAGAATTGGGGATTAAACCTAGGGCCTTGTGCATGCTAGGCAAGCACTCTATTACTGAGCTAGATCCACAGGCACTTTAAAAAAAAGAACGTATAATTATGTACCAGGACTAGCAAGGGATAGAAGCAGATAGTCTATGATGTAGCAGGGAACAGGTGTGAGGTTTTCGATTTTCAATTTTTTTATTATTTTTATTTTGTGTATGAGTGTATTGCCTGCATGTATGTGCATGCACCCGTGTTGTGCAGTGCTGGGGAGATCAGAAGAGGGCTTCGGATTCCCCTGGAACTGGAGTTAAGGACGGTTTGTAGCTGCCATGTGGGTGCTGAGAATCGAACCCAGGTCCTCTGCAAGAGCAGTCAGTGCTCTCAACTATTGAGCCATCACTCCAGCCCTCAATTTTAAATTGTGGTATAAACCCTGAACTTATGCGTGTATTCAAAACCCATCAGCTTAGGTATCATCTGTGGAGTCCTAGGCAAATCTGGAACCAGACGTGGCCCTACTAGGCTCTCCATGTTCTCTGGAGGGCAGGTGGTGCAAAATTAATCTCTGCCTAAAGTCAAGGGTCTCAATACCCTTATCTAGAGCACAGCAGCACCAGCCAGCCCGTCTCCTATTCCTAATGATTAACACATATGTGCTATCTTTTGCCTATTATTGCCAATGTAATATCTCTCTCTCTCTCTCTCTCTCTCTCTCTCTCTCTCTCTGTCTTTTTGAGACAGGGTCTCCCTGTAGCCACAGGTTGCTATGTAGACCAGACTAGCCTCTATGTCATAGGGATCCGCCTGCTTCTGCCTCCTGGGTTGCCATGTAGACCAGGCTGCTCTCCATCGCACAGAGATCTGCTTGCCTCTGTCTTCCAGGTGCTAGGATTAAAAGCGTGCATTATCACGTTCAGCTTGCTAACTCTTTTAAAAAAAAATTTTAAGACTTATTTTATCTTTAAATTACACATATGTGTGCATGTCCCTGTGCAGGTGCCCACAGAAGCCAGAGATGTCAGATCCTCCTGGAGCTGGAATTACAGGTGGTTGTGAGGTACCCAATGTGGGTGCTAGAAACTGAACTTGGGTCCTCTGCAAGAGCAGCAAGCACTCTTAAACCACCAGGCCATCTCTTCAGCCCACAAACCAACTCATAATCCCGAATAATCCCAAACTGCCTGTTAGTGAAGTCTTAATGAGTACATCTGAAGCTAAGTTATCCCATTTCAACCACATACCCCATTTCAAAAGTCCCCTGGGTCAACTTCACTCTGTGGAGCTTTGTCAAGGATGCAGAAAACCCAAGCTTTGAGTATGTAGAGACCCCATAAAGGCAGGAAGATCCCTATGAAGAGTGGGCGACTTTTCTGCTAACACTTGGTTCTGCATTAGGGAGAAGATTGGGGAGGGAACAGAGGCCAATTCAGAGGCTGGCTCTAATGCTGCTAAGAGATGACCTGCTCAGCTGCTCAACTGAGCTACGTTCTCCAAAGGATCAGTAAGTACTGATCTGTTACTCAGCAACTGATGGCTCTTATAATCTTCTGGACCTCCATGTCCCCTTACTGGAGATAATCAGAACATTGGTTAAGTATACTTTAAGAAATGAATGAAACCTAAAAAAAAAAAAAAAAGAGTTGGAGTCAATATTCAGGCCATTTACAGTTGCAGGCACGGAAGAAAGTGAACACTTTTTCAATAGGCTAACCATATTAAAAGAGAATATTTTCAGGAGTCCTAGGTCAGTATGTGGCGTGTGCCGTCCTCAAGTTTCCGTTCTTGGAGCAGATGTGCTAGCTAACCTCTGTAAGCAATGGGGAAACTCTCCTTTAAGAAAGATGACAAAATTCTCTTACAGGACACGCTCTCCAATGCAGCCAAGGACCTAAGAAAAACAAAACGAGAGATGCCTTCTTGGGAATTCACATGGTTAACTAATAAAAAGAGCTGACCTAAGAAGCTGTCTGGATTATCCTCAGGACTCTTTTTAGAAAGTGCTTTCAAGCAGTTTTAAGAGGCAGTAAGGAAGAATGAATATCCATTAGGGGAACAAACATGGAGATGAAGAGCAGATTCTGACATTAAGTCATCAGTAAATGAGGTAAGAAAGTCAGCAGATAAGGTGCTGAATTAGGATCTAAAATTTACACCTGCCAGTTCTACAATGCCAGTGGAGCCAGACACATTTCTCAGATGGACAGCAAGCACTGTTGGTAGGTCTTGCTGTCTGGGTACCAGTCAAAGCCTTATTTTCCAGCCACAACTCAAAGGTGGCAACCCATGTTTACTACTCTCTCTATTCCCCACAATGCCCAGCAAGCTTTGTACATTATGGATTTTCAGCAAATACAGGATAAAAGAATAAATGGACTGTTCTGTTGGAGAAAAGAAGTCAAAGGAAGTAAGGCTCCCAGGACAGTCCTGTTCCCATGGGCTTGGTTACCTTGGCCTAGAATTAGGCTAGAGTTGCTTTGAGAGCTAGTGTAAGCTCTCAGGGCTAGGACCATGCCTACTTCTCCTCCTGGGACTCTTTGTGGCTGGGAGACAATTCAACACATAATATAGTATTCAATTTATGTTGTTTACCAACTGGTATAGAGGCAGGCTCCAGCTCCAATGTGAGGCCCCACAGTAGTGTAATAACAAATAATTCCCCAAAGCTAGAAGAGCTGATGGGTTGTAGTCAATCACCCATATGCTTATCTTATCGCTTTACCCTCTATCAACCTAGCACAAAAATAAAATTCACGGGACTGGAGAGATGGCTCAGCAGTAAAGAGCACTGGCTGATCTTACAGAGAGCCCAGGTTTGATTCCCAGCATCCACATGGCAGCTAACACAGTTCCGGGGGATCTGATGCCCTTCTCAGGCCTCTACTGGTGTTATATGCATGTGGTGTACTTGCATACACACAGGCAAAACATTCATACACATAAAATATAAATACATTTTTTAAAAAAGAAAAAAAATCCCCACTCAATAAACAGTGATATATGGCTTGTTAATATGCTTAGCACCTTCCTTGGGTACCAGAGGCATGTAAGACACCTGACTACACCTTTTTGGGGTTGCTCAGCCCAAAGAAGAGGTTGGGGCAGAATGGAGGAGGTCACGGTAGGGAGCTTTGCTCCATATCACAGATCCTCTTGGCTGGCTGGACCATGGTAGTGGACATATCTGAGTCCTCAGCAAGTGTAGGAGGAAACTCATCTGTGGGTATCCTCCTAATTATAGGTGTCCTGAGATTATCCTCCTGATTATAGGTGTGCAAGGAAGACTGTGGCACTTCTCCCTTTGTAGGAAGAGAGCAGGCCTAGTCTGGTTTCCCATTTCATCCTATACTCTGCCCTATCTTTATTGGAGGGAAGAAGAGGCCCTTCCCTACAAGCCGGTATCCACATCTGCTGAAGTCTTCTAAACCTATTACTGGAAGGATTCCCTATCCCTTCCCTCTGGGGCCATGACTATTTGGCTTACCTCAAGAGCACAGAGTGGTCTCTTCAGCTCATTTAGGCATCTTCTCAAAGACTAGCTTTTTGAAGTGGGAGATGAAAATGGGCACAATAGCAGCTCTTAGGAGTCACTAACCATGGAGGCTGAGGACAGTGTGGAGGAAATGTGTTTACAAAGTAGAAGTCATTGCTGGTGCAGAATACTGGGCTTCTGTTACCTGAAAAATATTCCTGACTGCTCTCTCTTAAGATTCCATGAGTGCTCTACAGGCAGCTTACCACACAGCTGATGCAGCTCCTTCTAAACACTCCCACCAGCCCCTAGCCACTCCACCTTTGCAGCCCTTCTCAGCCTCCAGGTGAATTCTCCATGGCCCTGGTCCCACAATTCTCATTCACCATTTTTTTAAAAAAACGCTGCAAGGTAAAAGTTTTAGTTACAGAAAAGAAGAGGACAATCACTGTTAGTAAGGCCAAGAGGGACAAGAGCTGTGGGGTGAAAAATGGTCACTGATGCTGCTTCCAACTGAAAAACAACACGGGAGCTCCTGGGCAGGGTCTGTAGCCTGGAGGGGAAAATTTCATTTGGTGATTACTGCAGAAATGGCCACATCAGAATCCCTTCTTCCCAGAAAGTGACTTGCTCAGGTATATCTGGGAAGTACCCATGGGAATGGACAGGAGTAACACAGACCCCACCCTGACCTCATTCTAGTGCCCACCTCATCCCAGAACCCCCACCTCATCCCAGAACCTCCACCTCATCCCAGAACCCCCACCTCATCCCAGAACCTCCACCTCATCCCAGAACCCCCACCTCATCCCAGAACCTCCACCTCATCCCAGAACCCCCACCTCATCCCAGAACCTCCACCTCATCCCAGAACCCCCACCTCATCCCAGAACCTCCACGTCATCCCAGAACCTCCACCTCATCCCAGAACCCCCACCTCATCCCAGAACCCCCACCTCATCCCAGAACCTCTACCTCATCCCAACCCCTATCTCAACCTAGAACCCCTACCTCATCCCAACCTCCACCTCATCCCAGATTCTCTTCCACTGGCAGCAGAAAGAGGACATCCTCTTGGAGCAAGAACCTTCTCAAGTCCAGACTAAAACAGGGGACCTTGAGATCAATGATTCTTTTTTTTTTCACTCCTAATATCTGAACGTAAATAAGGCAGGCCCAGCAGAGGAAAGAACAGGACACTAGTCTCCAGAGCAAATGCAGAATCTTCAGAGGTCCCACTCCCCCAAGCCCACACCCACATGCTGATCGCTAACCTAGTCCTAGGCAGCTCCAGCTCCTGCTAAAAGGGGTGAGAAATAGAAACCAGGACACCTACAGCCACGATGAGGAAGTCCAGCCAGCACCAGGCATTGGTGAAGAACTTGACAAAGCCATAGGCTGTCCACTTGAGCAGCATCTCCAAGATGAAGATGTAGGTGAAGACCTTGTCAGCATACTCCAGAATGGTACGAATGGTCTTCCTCTGCTCAATGTAGATGTCTTCAAAGGCCTGAAAGAGAGGCAGCAGCTGCCTACCCAGTTGGGAGCAGCACCAGCAATGCCTCTCACAGGGAGCTGCCTGCTACCAGATTCCCACCTCTTCCACTTTCGTCCCCTGCTACATGGGTTTTGCTCATGTATTTGCTTAGTTAGTGGTGCTGGAGATTGAACCCAGGACGGTGTGCAAGCACTCTTTCTACCACTGATCTCCCAGCCCAGAGTTTTATTGAGAAATAATTCATGTACCATATAATTCAGCCATTTAAATGTGTAATTCAATATTCAGAGTTATACATGCATCAACAAACTTTTAGAACATTTTTGTTAACCCTTAAAGAATTTCCTCATCTTTTAGCTGTTGCCGTCTAGTCCTCACACTTTCTGGTCCTGGGCAACCACTAATCTGCCTTTTCTGGATAGTTTATACAAATGAGATGATCCAATATATGGTCCTTTGTGCTTGGCTTCTTAACTAAGCATAAGTTCTCAACGTTCTCCCACACTGCAATATGTATGGGTATTTCACCCTTCTTATGGGGGAACACTACCCCGAGGTATGGATCTACATTTCATTCATTCCTCATTAGCTGGTGCACATTTGGTTTTTTTCTATGTTTTGGCTAGGATGAATAATTGTGCTATGAGTGTTTTTTAGGAGTTTTTATAAAAATGTTTCCAGGGGTTGGAGAGATGGCTCAGCGGTTAAGAACAGTGTTCTTACAGAAGACCTGGGTTCGAATCCCAGCACCCACATGACAGCTAACAACTGTCCGTAACTCCAGTTCCAGGGGATCTGACAGCCTCTTCTGACCTCTGTGGGCATTGCATGACACAGGTGCACTTACCTACATGCAGACAACACATGAATACACATAAAATAAAAATAAAACATTTTTAAAAAAAGTTTCCATTTCTCTAGGGCATATACCTAAGAAAAGAATTGCCGGTAACTGGGTCAACTGTTTTCCGAAGTGGCCGCACCGTTTCACACTTCCACCAGCAGTGTACAAGTATTCCAGTTTCTCCATAACCTTACTAACAGTCTACTTATCAGACTTGGCAATATCTTTTCTCGTTTTAGTCCTTTAATGCCACAGATATGGATGGAGGGGCCACAGGGCTGGGAGACACTGAGGTGAAGAAAATCACGATACTATTTTCTTCCTATGGAACTCATGAATGAGGTAACTCCTTGACGTGAATGTGTGGGCACTCCCTTCTGCAGAGCAGTGGACTCTCTAGGCATGGTGCTAAGAGGAGGTGTGATGATTAACTGTGATTAAGCAACGTCTGACAAATCAGTAAAGCACCCTCCAAGCATGTCAGTGAGAACAGTTCTAGAGAAGATTAGATCATGAGGGCTCTGACCTAAAGGATGGTTTAATCCACTGACGGATTCAAAATCTGATGGATTATTGGGAGGTGGTAGAGCTTCTTGTTTGGTTGGAGGAAGCAGCTCCCAGGGGCTTCTCCCTGCTTCCTGTCTGCCATGAGAAAACTGCCCTCCTCCACATATCCCTGGTGCCATGACATTCCACCTCACCACAGGCTCAGAAACATGAAGTTGGCTGGGATAGGGTAAAACAAGCAGCGGCAATGCAAGTTCTCATCCCAACGAAGAGCGTCTTGGACTTGAGCAGGATAATGCAAAATCTTAAAATCAGGATGTGGGGAAATGTGGATTCTAATCCCAAAGGTACCATGTATCAGTCCAAAGCTTTTTTTTCTTTTTTTTTTTTTGGTCTTTTTGAGACAGGGTCTCCCTGTAGCCCCAGCTGTCCTGGATTCACCATGGAGACCAGGCTGGCCTTGAACTCACAGAGATCCGCCTGCCTCTGCCTCCCAAGTGCTGGGATTAAAGGTGCACCACCACGCCCGGCTCAGTCCAAAGCATTTTATCAGGCTTTGGGACCTCAGCCAATCTGTCCTGTCAGAGATACTAGGTCCCACACCCTGGCCCCCTCAACCTCTTCCTACTGTTTCTCTGTACTCTTCCCCAGACAGCCCTTCATCATTCTCCCCTGGATCTCACCAGGGCGCCACTGCTGAGCAGAATCATGAAGATGATGAAGGTCTCAAACCAATTGTGCTCTACGATGAGGAAGCAGGTTTTCCGCAGGATCCACCAGGACTTGCCTAGCCCTTCCTCAATGTTGACCTGGCAGCACTTGAACCGCTGGACACAACCTGGCGCCAAGAGGAGAGGCAGGTCAGACTGTACAAGTTTGCCCTACCTGCTCTGCCCTCTTCCTCTCCCAGGCCCCAGATGCTGCCCAACGCAGCAAGAGCACAGCAGCTGAATCCAGGGGGCAGGGCTGAGCCTATGCCACAAAGTAATAGGGCAAGGCCTCTGGAGTCAGGAAGGTCCCTAGAAGGAAGCAGTGAGAGGGAGGAGAGGAGGGCGGTCATGAGGTAGGCACAGTGTGATAAGAGGCTTTTCTAATGGCAGTGTGTGGGCTGGTGCCAAGAGATGAACAAAGGAAAACTGGGCAATAGAAAACTTCTATTCCAGAACTGAGTAGGGGAAATGGTACAAACCTTCATCAAAATGGGGAGAGGAACAATGTTCTTGAAGAAATTTACTGCCCCCCTAGTCCTGACACAGGCATGAGTGTGAGCACAGCACATAGGCCTCATGCCCAGTTCCCCACTTTCCCCCTTTCACCTTCAGTGAAGCAGGCGTCTGGATCCAAGTATTCCTCAGGCTGTTCTACAGGGACTTCTTCAACTTCAGGTTTGATATCTATGGTGCTTCCTTCAGAAGAGCTGGTATCATCCAGTTTCTAGACATGCAAGAAGAGGAAGATGAAGCACCTTTGCAGAAACATGTCTTCTTGACAAGACTCCACCTCTGCTAGGGATGATGTACAAACCCTAACCACAGGGCCCTCAGAACTTTCAAGAGAAGAACATAGCCCTACATGGGTCTCATGTCTTCAGGTCAGGGAGATTAGGGGCAGGGAAAAACTCAAAGGTTTACTCCAGGCTTGGAACCAGGCACTCCAGCTAGAGTGGGACTACCCAGGAAGCTCTGTCACCAAGGGCAGGCCTAGCACCACACTGGGGCAGGGGGCTGGCATTCCAAGTGAACTGGCTATTGCAGAATCTCTTCATCAAGCCCATGGCTGAGCCATCCTTGGGACTGAGAGTCCCATTTGCTTTCACGTAGGACAGAGGTTGGTTTCTAGGTTGGAACCTTACATCTTTACTGCCTTCAGGGTCTGACTCGCTGCTAACATCCTCTGTGTTGAGGTTCTCAAAATCAGACTCGCCCACAGCAATGGGCACTCGAACAGTCAGGTTTGGGTTGTTGATGAAGGACATATGGTCCTCATCAATGATATACTTCTCCACACTGCTGCCAATGCCACTGGTTGTGCCATTGCCATTCTTTTGGAAGTCCCCATTCCGGTGGATGTCCACACCGGTGTGGTTGGCGATGCAATTGGCCTTCTTTTCATACAGCTCATCTAGAGGCTTTACTTCATCTGCTTCGCGCTGCTTAAAGTGGGCCTGCATGAAGGCGCGCACTTTGACTTTGGTCCAAGCCACACCCTTCTTGATGCGAATGACTGAGATCTGCAGGTTGTTCATTTCCCCATCATCGTCCGTGGCTGCCAGGTTGTCTGCGCTGAAGCTGCTCAGGAGCAAGGCCAGAAACAGGTTCAGCACCTACACCAGTGAAGGAGCAAATGCAGAACGGTATTAGGAGCTACCCCTCCACTCAGGCACAAACTGGAGGCCAACAGACTTAGGTTCATTCCAGAGAGTTTCGATGTGCTGTTTGGCTCATATATAAATACTTATTTATTAATACATTTATTTATTCATTTAGTGTTGTAGTATTCGTTAGTATACTCATGTAATAGTCATTAGTGTTGGAGATGGAACCCAGGACCTTGTGACGCTAGGCACACAGCTAACTACTAAGAATCTGCAGAGTGCTTTGAATGCGCGCATCACCAGGTGGGAATTTTTTCTGGTTAGGTTTTAACAAAGAGTTTGCACCTCTTTTCTTGGGTCTTTTATGGTTTTACATTTGTATGTATATATCCCAAATATAGTAATTTTCTCATGACAAAAAGCAAAGACTGTATTTATTTGGAAGAAAACTATCCAAAAATAAAAATAAACAGAAAGTGGATATGGATTATTGAAGAGGACAGAAGAACACATAGATGTCATGTGTTCATGATGGTGGCTATCTCAGAGGACCTGCGTTAGAAAGCAGTTAGGCTTGGAGAGCCATATCTTCATACAAATCAAGAAGTAGCAGTGAAACGTACTTTATGTCATCATATTTCAAGAATGGATTTGGGGACTTGGGGTGCAGCTTAGTGGCAGAACATGGGTTAAGAATGAATTATCCATGCTTTGATAACATTTACAAAAATAACTTTTCTGGGAATGGTGCTACATGCCTGGAAACCCAGCTATTCAGGAGGCTGAGGCAGGGCTGCTCAAGGCCAGGAGATCAAACCTGCACAGTGAAGTCCCCATCTTAAAACACCAAACCAGAAGCTTGAGCAGGACAGCATGGTGACTTTATGGTCTGCTGCACAGCCAAATTCCCAGCCAAATACAAGCTTTGCCCCTGTTTAAACTTCCTGTTTTACCACTTTGGATATTCAGATTATTTGTTTTGTTTATTTGTTCCTGAGACAAGGTCTTACTTGGTAGCCCTGGCTAACCTGAAAGTTGCTATGTAAACCAGGTTGGCCATAAACTCACAGACCTCTGCCTGCCTCTGCCTTCCTAGTGTTGGGATTAGAATTAAAGGTGTGTACCACCATGTTCAGGTTAATTTATTTTTAAAACCCTACTTTTGAAAAGTGGGATATATTCACTTCCTAACCTACACTTGTCCCTTACTTTACTATACTTCAGGGGATTAAAGCATACATTTTAGATGCAGTTAATAGCATGTGTGAAGTGGGAGAGGAGGGACAATAAATAAACCGCATGCATTTGCATTATCTGATTTCTGTAGACCTGACAAGGAACACTGTTGGGAGAGTGAAATTGGAGAGGGTTTTCAAGGCCAGGCTGAAGGATGTGAGTCTTAAATGAATCTACTATGACATTTTATTTGTTTTTGAGACAGGGTCTCACTTGGCTGGTCTGAAACTTGCTATGGAGATCAGACTGGCCTTGAAATCACAGAGATCTGCTTGCCTCTACCTCCTGAGTGCTGAAATTAAAGGCATGGGTTACTACACCCAGCCACTATGCTTTTAAAAAGATTTATTTACGGGCCTGGAGAGACAGCTCAGCGGTTAAGAGCACTGACTGCTCTTGCAGAGGACCCAGGTTTGATTCCCAGCACCCACATGGCGGCGATAAACCATCCTTAACTCCAGTTCCAGGGGAATCCAAAGCCCTCTTCTGACCTCCACGGCATTGCATGACACGGGTGTACTCACATACATGCAGGCAAACCACTCATACATATAAAATAAAAATAATAAAATGTTTTTAAAGATATACATATTTATTTGTGTGCGTGTGCGTGTGTACCCAGGTCCTGTGCAAGAGCAGCAAGTATTCTTAACCACTGAGCCATCTCTCCAGCTCCTCCACTAGTGTTGGAGAAAGGGTCTGATTCTGTGGCCCAAACTGGCCTCAAACTCATGATCCTTGTGCCCCAGCTTTCTGTGCGCACCACCCAGTTCACTCTTAGTTCTTGAACACAGGAGCTACAGATGATGACTGATACTGAGAAAGTATTCCCAGCGGCTACATTAAGGAGGCTGAAGTTAGAATGCTGCTGCAGACATAAGCTGATAAAGTCTGGATCAGGCTTCAGGGGGGTCGGTGGATACACGGTAAAATATGTATTTTCTTGGCCTTCCCTGAAGAGAAGATCTGGAATTTGGCCTTTTTAATGACTGAAACTTGTGTGACTGATGCAGGTGGTCTTTAGACTACACTTCTAGAAATATTGTACTAATTGTAGAAATGCAAAGAAAGGTAAAATTCAGGGACACTGTGAAGAAGGCTGTGTGTATAGAAGTGTGTGAAGAAAGGTACAGGAAATTGCTGGGAGTGCAGAGAAAACAGAGAAAAAAATCCAAAGTTACAGGATCCTGGAGACTACATAGGCAGAGTGCCTGGGCCAAGGGGGACCTGAAGCAGTGTCAGCACACAGAGATGGCGAGATGACTCCAGGCACCTGCTCGGGTATCTGGCGGCACACACAGGACAGACATCTTGGGGTGAGAAGGTAGCAAGGAAGGGGCCTAGAGATGTTGTTCACATTACATAGCAGGAAGCAGGAGCTGTACTCATGGAAGGAATGAAAAGACAGGGACCAGGACTGAGGGAAAAAGGTGGTTGGTGGACTGCAGAAGCATTATGCTAGCTATTGTTATTATAGGAGAGCTATGGCTGGTTCCAAGGAACCCTTTGCTGGCAAGCTTCTTTATGGAAGAAAAGGGAGAACTGAAGTGACTGAGTTTATAAGGATCACATGAGTTGTTTCTCGCCTCTCTGCTCTGTACTTGGGAGTCCGGTCTTTAACATCGCGGCTGCTCCAACTGCAGTGTGCAATCATCACCTGGGCCTTGTTAAGATGCATGTTCTACTGTGGCAGCCATGGGTGAGGGGTCTCAGATTTCAAGCCATCTCCTTGCTGCTAGTACTCAAATTACACTTTGAGAAATAAAATGCTAAAACCTCTGCTGGTGACTTCCTGCACACAGAAATGGAAGACAGGAGGTAGATGGAACAGAGTAAACAAGAAAGTCACCTGTCATTTATACAGATAAACTCTAAGGTGCTTCAGATCAGTGCTTCTGAATGGAGGGCAATTTTATACCTCAAGGGACATTTTTGGTCACTGTGATTTTGGAAGATGGCAGCTAGTGTGTAGAGACCAGGGATGGTGTTAGTTTAACAGTATCCAAGGAGGTCCACAGAATTAGATGGCCTGAGATTCCAACAGTGCCAAGGCAAACAAATCACAGTTTTTCTAGAAAAAAGGAAACATTTTGTAGCTGGAAGAAAACAGACAAAAATCCTGAAGTCTGGGCTGGAGAGATGGCTCAGCGGTTAGGAACACTGGCTGTTCATGCAGAAGACCCGGGTTCGAATCCCAGCACCCACATGGCAGCTAATAACTGTCCGTAACTCTATAACTCCAGTTCCAGGGGATCCAACAGCCTCTTCTGTCCTCCGCGGGCACTGCACAACATGGGTGCACTTACCTACATGCAGGCAATGCACACATACACATGAAATAAAAATAAGAAAAAAATATTTTAAAAAATCCTGGAGTCTGTCAGCTGTGTGACTTGGGGAGAGGGATCACTTAATTTTGCTGTGGTTTTTTTTTTTTGGTTTTATTTTTTTAAACAAGACAGAGTTACCAGGTTGTGGTGTGTCACGGCTCAGTAGGCACTTCATGAATAAGCACTTCTTAATTTGTACCTAAAGGTAGACCTGGACCAAGAAACGAGTTCAACACAGCAGGTGGTAGAGAGATTAAGAGGACCAGGTTTCTGCGCTAAGTGTAGGATGTTTGGGTCAAAGAGCAACAATATCTCCAAATCGTTACTAACCACCAAGTTGCCAATGACCATGACCATCATAAACACAATGAGGCACATGGCCTGGCCAGCCACTTCCATGCAGTCCCACATGGTCTCGATCCATTCCCCGCACAGCACTCGGAAGACGATGAGGAAGGAGTGGAAGAAGTCGTGCATGTGCCAGCGCGGGAGCTCACAGTCCTGGTTGATCTTGCAGACACACTCCTTGTAGCTTTTCCCAAAGAGCTGCATCCCCACCACAGCAAAGATGAAAACGATGATGGCCAGCACCAGGGTCAGGTTGCCCAGGGCACCCACAGAGTTCCCAATGATCTTGATCAGCATGTTCAGAGTGGGCCAGGACTTGGCCAATTTAAAGACTCGGAGCTAAGGGAAAAACAAAAACTAAATGATAGACCATTGTCTCACCACATGGCTGAAAAAAAGTATGTAAAATTAGGAAGATTGGCTTAAATTTATCACCCTTAGGAAATGCTCAGAACTTCCTGTGTCTCAGACTAAAATGAAACTGAGGCATGGATAAAAGAAAGCTGATTAATTTCACAGTAAATGAAGGGACATGGCAAGGAGAGTATAATCTGTAGGAAACCAAAAGATTGGTATGGTAAGGACATTGAGAAAGTCATTCGTTACTGTAAAAAGCAAGCCTAGAAAATTCAAAAAATTACCAGGTGCTCAGGAGGTAAAAGCAGGTGGATCTCTGTGAGTTCAAGGCCAGCCTGGTCTACACAGTGAGTTTAAGGCCAGCTAGGGCTACCTAATGAGATGCTGACTCAAAAAGAAAAAGTCAACTATGGGCTGGAGCCTAACCAGATATTTCTAGAAGGTAGCAGGTGCTATGTGTATTTTCAGGTATTTTCAGGTATTTCAGGTATTTCAGGTATTTTCCTGGTTGGGAGAGGAAAAGTCAGGACAGTTTTGACATCAGGGAAGCAGCAGGGAGCTGAGCAAGAAACCACAGGGAACTGAGTCTCCAGGATTCCATGTACACCTGTGTTTATGGCTTGCTCTTTTGAAGATCGTATTAGTTATTCTCCCAGAACCACTTAGTAATTTAAACATTAACTTATCAAAATATTAATAAAAATATTTCTTCACTAATGAAGGAAATAAGTCAACTTCAACAACTCATTTCAGTATAATTTAACAAAGCATTATTTCATTCTAAATGTCTGGAAGGGGTTGCCATCACAGAATAACTGAGGAAAGTCATCTTTGAACATCAGAGATTCATCCACTTCAGGGAGCTACTCAAATAAATACTCAAACAACTCATTAGCCAACCAAATTTGACCTCAGAAGGCCTTGGGAACCCTTCGTCTTCTGAATGAATGATTTTCTAAGCAACTTCCTAAAAATTAGTCTCTTTTGTTTATTAATTTCAAAACCTAACTTTCACATTGTGCTAAATTTTAGTGGGGAAGTTTTCAAGATTTTAGTACCTAAGTTCAACTGGATTTGGGAGCAGAATACACTTAAGGTGTTTTTTTTTTTTTTTTTAACACCGTAAGTTAACCTATACGAAGTACTTTCTAGTCGATGTAAGAAAGGAAACTTTGAAAAAAACTGGAGAAATATGGAATACCAATCGAAAAGATCGCAGCACTGAAAGCCCTTCCACGTCTGCAAGACCCAGTTCCATCAAACTGAGGGAGACAATAAATCCATCAAAAATGTTCCAACCTTCTTGGAAATAATAGTAGGGATCCATGGCTATGAGCTTCAGAAACATTTCTGCTGTGAAAATCCCGGTAAAAACCTGAAGAAGAGGGAAGGAGGCAGGAGGTTAGGAACAGGATAACAGAAAGAGCACAGCTTTATTGTCTTTCCAAACAACATGTCCAAGAGCCAGCCTTGGCCTCTACACTGGACAACATCAGTACCTGTATGTCCCATGAGCATATCACATGACACAGGAAAATCTCCTTTTCACTTGAATGAAATTCTCAGCTCCAGTGCTCCCATCTTTGTTGCCAGAACCACTCAATTCACACTGTTCAGTATGTGGTTAAAAAATAACCTAAGTCCCATGAATAGCAAAAATGTGCAACCCCTTTAAAAGGTCAGCAGTTATTTGAATGTGTATTCTTAGGGTCTTTGCTTTTTAAAAAAATCACTTCCATAAAATCAGAAAGCAGAGAGTGGTTACCAGTGTCTGAGTGGATAGGGAAGGAGAGGGTGGGGAGGCCTGGTCAAAAGGTACAATGTGACAAGGTAGAAAGAAGTTGTGGTATTCTGTTTTTATGACACAGTGACTATAATCAGCAGTAATGTGTCATATTTTAAAATAGCTATAGAGGACTTTGAAAGTTCTTATTAGAAAGAAATGGAAACTTTTGGAGATGATGGGTGTGCTAACTGCCCTGAAGTGATGTGTACATGAATGATATGAAGGTGTGTATTGAAATAGTACACTGTATCTCATAAATTTGCACAACTATGCATCAATCAAAAGAAAATAACACTTGTAAAGAAACTGCTCCTTGTGTTTAGATTTAAAATATATATTAATTTATGATTTGATATCATATCTCACTGAACCCAGACATAATTCTGCAGTTTCTTCCTCTAAGTCATAAAAGCAATTGGATATTGTTCAGTGTGTTCAAAAACGGAAAAAAATTAGGTCTTCCTACTTTGTATATAATTATAATTTTTCATATAACCGGTTTCTGAGTTTTTCAATGCATGTACATATTACATAATATCTTGGGTCTATCTTGACGCCATCTATGTTGTTACAGTCTTCCAAATCCCATTTTTACTGTCTATGTAAAGTTCCATTAGTTGAATATATCCTCAAAGAATTTCCTTATTGTTGGAGACTTTGCTGTTTCCCTTATTTTTTTCAATATGGTATCCAATGATGTCATGTTGGATCTGAAGTTTATTGTGTGTGTGAGGATGGCTTACTTCTTCTCTGTGTTCCCATGTCCCACTCTTCTGACCTGACAAAGCACCTTGCACCTCCTAGGGCCTTCCATCTCCTGTAGGCCTTAAGAAGACATGTGCTAGAGGAATGTCAGAGTCCAGCTGTGGCTTGCGACAAGACCAATACCACTAGTGCAGGTTATCACACAAGACTAACTGATTATTTCATTTTTAGAGAGAACTTTGTATGCAACAGGTTTATGCAATAGGCTTAAAATTGTCATATTCCACATGTAGGGAGGCCTGGTGCCAGGTGTTGGAGCTCAGCAGGGCAGCAAGGTACCTCTGCGGGGTGTTGCCCAGCACAAAAAGTCCATTCTTGAGGAGGGGTGAGATGGTCATGCAGATGAACAACACAGGCCATCAGAGCCAGGGAGAGGCACCTATCATGAAGGACAGTCCAGTGAGGGCTATCGAGGTGGCTGGGGAGATTGCCTAGGGTGGCTATACCACACTGGCACTGAGGTCCAAGTGGGTTAGGAGGGTATTCACACTGGGGGATGAAGTGGAGCTGACAGAGAATGAGAAGTTAAGCAAGGCAAAGATGGTATCTCCAAGTGAAGACACAAGAGTAGGGAGAGAGATCCCTGCAGCAGAAAGCCCAAGGTGGGGTAAAGGAAGGTGTCCACATGCTGAGAGAATGGGGGTGGTGGTGGTGAGAAAGACGTGGTCTGGATTGAGCCAGGTGGAAGTGAGTGCCTGAGGAGTGTCACACAGGTGGGTGTCATGGCATGAGAAGCCAGAGTCCAAGCAGAATAAAGAGAGCTTCCATGCTAGGGAAAGCCTGGGGGAGGGAGTAAGGACAGTGTCCAGTCAGGGACATTATGATGCTTTAAGTGGGTATAAGAAACAAGGGTACATACAGTGGTCTGTATAAGTTGTTGGGTTGTTGGAGCACTGGAAGTATAAAGGGCTTCAACATGGAGGGACGTGGTCAGGACATTGGAGGCGTGGAGGTACTCCCTGTGTGTGCTAAGGGCACCCAGCACAGGGTATCAGAGCTTGAAAAGCATGGGGTGGTATCCACACTGTAAGAACACTGGCTTTCCAATCAAATAAGTCAATCAAGGGGAGGGATAACTGGCTTCTTACAGTGAGAGGAGTTTGAAAGGGAGATCAGAAAGAATCTGTGGTGCTAGACAAGAACTGGAAGTGAGAGCATCCCCTATGGTTATCACTGAATAGAGTTCATTCTAAATGGCTTGAATTCTAACAAGGTTGTATGTTGTTTGAATAAGCACACCCAGCTTACAGGTCTTAGTTTCAAAAATACTATATTCACTAAGATGATCTGAGCTTCTTGAGAATGGCTAGTTTCAATCCTGGGACAGAAAAACACTGTTAGCCTGCATTATCTTGTGGTACCAGAAACAAGGACCTAACTAGAACATATCAAAATGACATGGGCACCACTTTGAAGAACTTCCCAATGGCCAGATCAGGGACAGTATAAGCATCAAAGTAAATGACAGGAATCCATTATAATACAGTAGATAAAAATGGAGACCAGACATCCATTCTGATAAGAGAGACCAAAAACTAATTAACAGGAAACGTAGGTAATTTTAAAATGTTTCCTTCAAAAGTACTTATTAATTATATAATGTACAGGAAGAAGCTCGGCAGAGGCCTTAGCTGGGTGGTTTAGCAAGGATTACCAGTAATATGACAAATGGACACTGTGCTTGGTGGATGCAGTGCACATGAGATCTTACATTATTATGAAGGTGCACAGTTCCTGACAGACAGAAACAGAATTCTATGAAATAACTGGTTTGTAATCTGCAAAGAGTTAAGGTCAGAAAACTAAGGAAAGACAGGTGCTCTTCTGGGAAGAGGATTTTCAGAATGAGAACTAAAAACGATATTGTCATAACGTAATAGTGTGTTAGGGTTTAGAGTAGCAAGTCCATGTGTGTGAGAGAGAAAATGGGTGCAGGAAACACTGGGCAGAACTCATGCTTAAATCAAACAAGAGCTGGACATGTGCTTCCAATGGCGAGCCCAGATAACCTAGAGGATTTTTCCCCAAACAACTCCTTTCTATCAGAATTTGATCAACTCCTGATTTTTTAAAAACTAAAGTAGGAAAACATAATCCCAAATCACAATTTCTTGACTTTTCAAAACTTCATACTTATCTTCTAAATAATAGAAATATATGACTTAAGCTAATTTAAAATAAATTTGGCACAGATCAGCTAATAACAGAAACTGGATGATGGCCCAGAAGTTGGATTGGAGGGGAAAGCAGTTTGGAATTGAAAGTGTCTCATAAATAACTCCATATGGGCGGTAAGATCCCACAGCACAGGCAGTGTAGGGTGCTCTGTGCACTAGACAATCTCCCTATTTTGGGTGGCTGTTACTTAAGGCACAAGGGAAAGTGACTTGCTGGGGCAATGTGGAATTAATCTGAGAAGGATGAGAAAACAAACAAACAAAAAACACAACCCAGAAGTCCTTGGCTCAAGCTGCTGAGCCAACCCACTGTCCCATGTCTCCCATTCTGTCATGGGGCTGGTTTCCTGCCAAGAGAGCCTAGATGACGTCTTCAAAGTTCTGCAGAGAAGAAACAGCCAAGGGAGCACAAGAGTGAGCAGAAGCTGGAGCCGTGGCAGATGGAAGCATTTGTCTTCCAGTTAACTATTACTTTCTTGTTAGCTTATCTTCAGCTTCCCACATCAGAAAAAGGAGTCCTATAGGCAAACATCTCAAATCATATATCAGGAGATGGTGCTCCATCTTACCAGATTTCCTACAGCCAAGACGTGTTCAAACTGTGGTGTCATGGGATGGTGCTCCATTGCCATAAACAGTGTATTCAGAACAATGCAGATGGTGATGGCTAAGTCAACAAAAGGGTCCATGACGATCAAGTTCACAATCTCTTTCAGTTTTATCCAGTAAGGGTGACACTCCCAGATGAGGAAAGTGTTGGCAAATTTATACCAGCATGGTGGGCACTTTCTCTGAGATTCCTCTAGTTCTGGAGCGAATAAAGAACACAGACATGCTCTCAATCACAGAGAAAACTCTGTCTTCTGCTCAGGTGATCGTCACTGTTGTTACTATAACAAAGAGTGCTTGGGTACTGACATTCCTCAGGTTTCCTCTGCATCAAGATAAAAAGGGCAAGTCCCTTCCATATTAATAATGATCTATTTATCCACCAGGTACGGGGTCAGACCATGGTGGTTAGGAGCGTGGCCCCCAGACCTCCTGGTTCAACTGGCTTCAATAGTCATAAGTTGGGTGAGCTCATGCAATGTAACTGACTTCTCTAGGGATCAAGTGTCCTGTCCTTAAAACAGGGCAGTGAATTTGCAGATCCTTAGGACTAAGTGAGTTGTCTAAGCTCATTTCATGAGATTATGTAAGTCTGACTAAGGATTAAAGGAGACGATGTATATAAAGCAGTCAATACAGTGTCTGACACAAGATAAGTCCTCATTTAAGTGGAAGATGTTCTCAATTTCACAATGTATCATTAAATTCTTATCAGAGAAGCCATCAAAAGTATAGACTCTGAGGTCAGACACACCTCAGTTCAAATACTAGCCCATACGCTTGCTAACTATGGAGCCATGAACAAATCACATCAATTTTTTGTGAGAATTAAACAAGCCGGGTCTAGAAGAGATAGCTTAGTCAGTAAATGCCTGCTGTAGAAACATGAGGACCTGATTTCAGATCCTCAGCACCAAAGTAAAAGCTGGGCGTAGCAGTGTATGTCTTTAACCCCAGTGCTGGGATGGTAGAGAGAGGAGATCCTTGGAACTCATTAGCCAGCCAGCCTACACAAACAGACGAGCTTCAGGCTCAGTGAGAGACCCTATCTCCAAAATAAGGTGAACACTGATCGAGGAAAGCATGTTGACCTCTGGTCTCCCCACACTTGAGCACAAATATGCACCTGCACGCACACATGCACACATCTACACACGCATGCACACACATTAAATAACCTAGAATATCTACGAAGTGCCTCAGAACCCCCTAGCAAATAGCAAGTGTTGGGGAAGTACTTGCCAGAAGCACTGTCTTCTTCAGCAGGAAAGGCATTGCAGCCGGCCACAATGTGACAGGCCTCTACTGTGTCCTCAGCAGGGTACAGGTGACTGACTGTCCTCACCTTCAGTGAGGCTGCTGCTCAGAGCTGAGTTATCTGCACAAGGTGCATCCTCTCCTCTACCCTCCCTTCAGTCTTCCTAGCTCCATCTCTCTTGCCCTTTCACCTGATTCTTCTCTTCCTGTAGCTTCTCTTTCCCTCCCCTCTAAGTCTCTTCGTCTTGTTTTACTCCCCTATTCTCTCTTTTAAAAACAGAATCTCATGTGGCCTCCAGACAAAAAACTGGTAAATCAGCAATTGCTCTGATTGAAGCAGGAATAGGAGCTTGCAGCCCAGCCAAATGGATGTCTCCCTTCCCTGAGGTACGTCCTCAAAGCCTCAAGACTCTCAGCAGTGGAGTTGCAGGACTTAGTGGTTTTCCAGATTATTTATGAAACTAAAGTAGGAAAACATAAAGAGAATGATTAGAAGGAAAGGAGGAAGGCCATTCTGCTGGCCGCGCACCAGCCTAGGCACAGGGCTTAGCTGTTGAAGTTCTCCCCAAATTACATATGAAACATAACAACTGGGGGTCATAAAACTCTAAGGTTCTGTCCAGTGAAGATGTTCTTCAGGAATCTTAACTTAAAAACCTGTCAGGGGACTGGAGAGATGGCTCAGCAGTTAAGAGCACTGGCTGCTTTTGCAGAGACCCAGGTTTGGTTCCCAATTCCAGTTCCAAGGGGTTTGACACCCTCTTTTGGCCTCCACAGGTACTGTATGACATGGTGCATTTACATGCACACAAGCAAAACACTCATACACATAGAAAATAAAAACAAACAAATCCAAAAAAATTTAAATAATAAATCCCTATCAGAATGATAATCCTTATATGCAAGGCCATGTATGGGTCTACAGGATTGGTTCTAACAGTCCCTCCCCATCCCAATTCCACTGACAATAAAAAAGATTCCTGCAAAGCTAGGGATCCCTGGAATCCCAGCACTCGGAAGACTAAGGCAGGAAGATTCCCACTAGTTTAAGGTCAGCCTAGGCTAACACAGCAGGTATTTGGCTATCCAAGGCTATATAGTAAGAGCCTGTCTGAAAAAAAAAATCAATCAACCAACCAACCAATCAATAAATCAAACAAGCAAGCCAATATAAGCAAAATAAACAAACTAAAAAAATTTCCCAACATCTCCCCAAGAACATGATGGCTGCTGTCAATCAGTCCCCTCACCCTTTCTCCGACTAGCAGGATGGTACCCATGGTGATGGCTTTATTTTAGGTGGGGTGGTTTTGGTCAGATATCTGACTGGCTGCCTGGTTGCTAAGAAAATGGTTGCCTTGGTTTTCAGATTGAAGGGCCACAGTGAGTGTCACGTGGGAGTATGCGTGGGAAAAGAGGTCTGTGAAGAAAATTTGCTTCGGCTTCTTCATCATAGAACTCCCTCTCTTCACAAGGTAAATTTAGTTTTCTTCCCCAAAAAAGAAAATGAAAAGGTTCTCTTATTTCCATAAATTCTTATAGTACATATTTGGAAGTTTGGTTCCATTCCTTTTTAATCTCCTCCCTTCTCCAAATGTTTGCAGCTTATGGGCACATGGGATTGAAGCCCTGACTGTTCACATTCCTGACAGATGACACAACTGTCATGCTGCACACTGTATGAGGTTCCAGGTCTGACCAGAGAGCAAGGGGGCTTTCTACCCCATGGGCCACCCTGAAGATTCCTACAGGGATATTGGTTACCACTCAGCTGGGTGAACCCTCAGGATGATCAGTTCCACAGGGAGTAACACAATGTGAGTTTAAGAGGTAGAAAAGATCATTATCTGAACTGAGAGGTTTATTTAAAACTTTTTATTATTCTTAATTATGTGAAGGCGTATGTGTCTGTGTGAGTGTATGTATTTATGAGTGTAGGTACCAATAGAGGCTAGAGGGTCAGATCCCCCTGGAGCTGGAGTTACAGGCAAACTACCTGATGTGGGTACTGGGAACTAAACTTGGGTCCTCTGCAAGAGCAGTACAAGCTCTTAACACATCGAGCCTCTCTCCAGACTATTTTTTAGACAGGGTCTCATTCTATTACCTCATGGGCTCAATCCATCTTCCTGCCTCAGTCTCCCTAGTAGCAGGGACCATTATGCACACTGTGCCTAGTGGATTTAAAGTAACTTATGACTCTGTAAACTGTTACTGGTTCCACAGACCTGTAAAGCAAAGAATTTAGTTGGGGGATGGGTTAAGATAAGGAAATGAGGCTTGTGGAGCTTCTGGACATTTTCAGAGGGGTTACCTGCAGGCCACAGCCCCAAGAGTACTAGGAAATCTTCCCAGAGGGAGTCTCGTTAGTCTACCAGGATGGTGGCTTTGGTGGAGCAAGTTTTCCAAAGGCAAAGGCAACTCGGTTTGACAACTTTTAAGCAGCTGAAGAATCCTAGTGTTGAAGAGTCCCCACTTCCTTGGAGCTTGCAGCCAGGCAAGAAAGACAGATGCCAGATGAGGAACTGTAGCCACACTTGATGCTCGGCACTTGAAAACAAAGACTAAGCAGAGGCAGTGGCATCCACGGCCAGTTCCCTCTAGGGAGCAACTGCAACTGTCTTGTTTGAGGACTGACAACAAGAAGCACCAAAGCACGGCCACTAACACCCATTATTCTGCTGTCACCCTCCTCCTGCAGCTCTCCTGCTCTGAGGAAAAAGATTACACTAGTCTTTGCCTCCATCTGACCCCAGCCCCGAAACATCTCCAGAGCTTAAGGTTCCTGCTAGCTGGGGATCTGGCTGAGGACTGGATCCTGCTAAGCAAGTCTGCAACTGCATGGATTGAGGAGGGGCAGCAGGATTTTCTCTTTAAGGAGATTCCGGAATTCTCCACTGCTGCATCTAAACCTTTAGGTGGATAAGAGTTTGTTTCTTTGGTTCAAAAACAATGATTTAAGTCTTCAGATCAAAATAATTTCAGTTTCCTAATTGCAAATCTGTGCAGCAGGAATAATTACTCATTTAATGTAGCAAGCAATAGATACAGAGGAGCCAATGGTTAAGCCAATGGATCTTTGTTAATGTCTTTAATTCCCCTCATAATTATTCAGTTCCAGTCATTCACTGTTCTTTGCTTATAGCAGTTCTGGCCCATCAGTTTTAATTAAAGGCGTCAAAGACAAGGTGAAGAATAAGAGGAACGTGTGAGAGGGAATGGCAGGGCGGGTACAGGCTATGTGAGCAGTAGGGCCATAGAAAGGAAAAATAATTGGAATGGCTGTCTCCTCCTTGAGCGATGTTTCCATCTTGTTTTTTAAAAATGTGTGTGCTGATGGGTGGATGGTGGAGAGGGTGCGGAGCGGTGGATGGTGGAGAGCATGCGGAGCGGTGGATGGTGGAGAGCGTGCGGAGCGGTGGATGGTGGAGAGGGTGCGGAGCGGTGGATGGTGGAGAGGGTGCCAAGCGGTGGATGGTGGAGAGGGTGCGGAGCGGTGGATGGTGGAGAGGGTGCAGAGCGGTGGATGGTGGAGAGGGTGCGGAGGGGTGGATGGTGGAGAGCGTGCGGAGCGGTGGATGGTGGAGAGGGTGCGGAGCGGTGGATGGTGGAGAGCGTGCGGAGCGGTGGATGGTGGAGAGGGTGCAGAGTAGGACAGAGAGAAAGAAGAGGCCAGGGAAAGAGGAGGAGATTTTTTTAAATGCCCAAAAGGTTTACATTCAATGAAGGCTTCTATAAGTAATAGTGGAGTACCAACATTCCACCATTCCAAGCATAGTGAAGAGCGTCTGACTGTTGTTTGTGCATTCACACTGGCCAGGCCCTTGCCATAGACAACTTATAACTGCTGTGTTGCACAGATCATTTTCCTGTTCTGATGCCCCTGCCAATGATGTCCTGTTGGAGGCTGCTTTTCTTCTTCAGTTGCCTTACACACTTGGAGAGATCCTGTCTTGGTTTCTAAGTGAATATGAAAATTAGCCAAATTCTTAAGCTAGTGTTCTACAGCTTGGAGTTCTTATGGTATGTAGTTATTTGCCTGAAATCTCAAAGCATAAGCCACAGAGCTTAAAGCTGCTCTATCATACACTGACCTCAATGGAAACGAAGGAAAACGGAATGCAGCTGCTGAGCTGGCTGCAAGCAGTCCGTTCGATTTTTTCACTTCATACATTCTGATTTGGCACTGTCAAGACTAGTGGCATGTCTCATTCTCTACACCTATGAGGGGTACAAATGCTCCTATGGTGGTTCTTCTTAGGGGTTCCCCCTTCACTATATCCCACCCCAATACACACACACAGATATGGTAAGCTTAAATGGCTAAAAAATAAATGTGTCCCATGGCTAGCGGGCCAATAGAAAATGCCCCATCTCAGGGACTGTGATTAGTGCCGGTTTAGCCTGGCTATCTGAACTCTGAGAACAGCAATCTGAGGCCTCAAGAATAGTTTAAACTCAGCTAAACCAGCACGTATAAACTGAAGAAAATAGATGCAGAATCAGTGGGAATCCTATGCGAGAGAACCTAGTTACTGATTTTACCTCTAAGAGGAGCCTGGGATGTATACCAGGACTGGAGAGAGGGCTGGTACTTGCCAGGCGGACCATGGCCTAAAGGAAAATCCCCAGCTGTTCCACAGCCTGCCAGGCTGTGCCATGGAGAAACCATGTCGCATGGAGCATCCGGCACTTACAGCAGTATCACCAGACAGGTTATGATTCAAGTGGCTGTTCGTTCCCTGTGGAACAAAGTACCAAAGCAAGAGGGATTTTGGCTTACCTAGTCACACATCAGATGTATTTGTAGGTACGTGGGGGTGTTTGGAGAGAGGCAGAATTAGGTACAATCAAAATGCACAGTATGTTCTCCCTTCAGGAAAAGTCTAAAGGGCTGTAAGTCTTGAGTGAGGAAGAGAGGAAGGTATACTGTGAGGTAAGGCCATGAAGGGAACTCCATCACCTGATCATTTCACCCGCATGCCCTAAAGTCTCACAGTCCCACTTGTTCCTCACGATGGCATCACTGAGGCTTCTGTATCTCTATCACTGCTCCATCCTTCCTACCTGTCGCTTGATGCTGGCGGTGCATCTGAGGTCCTTATTTGTTCCTGAACACAGCTTTGGGGAAAGAGCTGTGACCCTGGTTTCTATATTCAGTAAGATCAATTCCAAGGGCTCAGAGTTTTGTGAAAGTCAGATCGAGGGGTAGGGAATATATTTACCATGCATACTACATATTCACTACTGAGCTGTTCAGAAGGCAACGCAGGCCACGCACCTTCTACTAGTGTATTGGTAACAACACTCATTATACTGTTGATCCTGTCCTTCCGTCCATAGGAAGCCAGTTGGTCCATGGAAACTAAAAGAGACCCAGGGCCTTTCTTCTTAATTTCCACCTCAGTTGTTGCCTAAAAAATAAAATAAAGCAAACAGGGTGAGCAAAGTGTGATAAATACAAGGCTTGGACCTCATTGGATAGACAGTCCAGAGTATGAGCAAAAATGTATGACGTGCAGTGCTTTTTTAAAAATCTGGGTCCTAAAATCCTACTTACTTTAAGAAGTAATGAAACACATTGGCAATAGATCATTTTTAGTTCTGTGGATGAGACCAAGTCATTTAAATTTAAGCAAAGCTGCCTGGCTGAGGCCAAAATGCCTCATCTGGTTAATTTTAAGCACAAAGTAGAAAGACCACATCCCCAGGGGCATTGCAACCAGAATCAGACCCTATATTTTCCTGTTCTCATCTCACATCCATAGTATTTGGCTAGAATTGGTCCACTTGTCAAAGTAAGTCAAATTCACGTCTACCTGAAATTTCATTCAGGCCAAGTTCTTGAGCACTGAGCCTCCAGATGCTGTCTCTTCCCAGAGGAGTACCACCATTTATACACTAGTCTGCCTAAGCATGAGCAAGCCAAAGGTCTACTCCACCCTTCCCAAGCCACTGCAAGAAAGTATGGTAAAATTGATCTTAACTATAATGCATCATATTTTTATCTTGACATTCAAAAATTTTAAGAGTTAAATTGCAATGTTCAAATTTCCTAACAAAAATGGTAAATCATCACTGGACTGTTATAAAAGATATTTTTTGGGGCTGGAGAGATGGCTCAGCAGTTAAGGGCACTGGTTGCTCTTGCAGAGGACCTGGGTTTGATTTCTAGCACCCACATGGCAGCTAACAACCATTTTAACTCCAGTCCAGGGGATCCGACGCCCTCTTCTGGCCTCTGAAGGCTTTGCATGACACAGGTGTACTTATAGACATGCAGGCAAAATACTCGTACACATAAAAATAAATAAATTAAAAACATTTTATAAAAAGTATTTGTCGCCGGGTGTGGTGGCGCATGCCTTCAATCCCAGTGCTTGGGAGGCAGAGGCAGGCAGATTTCTGTGAGTTCAAGGCCAGCCTGGTCTACATAGTGAGTTCCAGGACAGCTGGTGCTACAGGGAGACCCTGTCTCAAAAAGAAAAAAAAAAAAAAAAAAAGTATTTGTCACATGCCTTACCCAGGTAGCAGTGGTACAGGGGTGGGAGGGGGCTGCCCAAGTTTCTTGTTGTCCTTGGTTTAAGTTCTTTGTGATTACTCTACATCAGATCAGGTTTGATGGATATTGTCCCCTATACTACGTCGCCTGAGTGAATCTATCTGCTCTTTCAATGGTGGCTTGGACAGAGATTGGCAGCATCCCTCAGGACAGGGAAGACACATTTGTACAAGGAGAAAGAAGTACATGTCTGATCAGCCCCAAAATGATCCTGGTTGTTTTGAAAATAAAATACTTCTGGAGAGCTATGTCAGAAATCCCTTTGTCCTTATACTCAAATACTTATGTCCTTATACTTATGCTCAAATTTTAAGAAAACTCTCTGTCCTATGCATGCTTAAATTTTAAGGACTTCACAGAGGATAATTCCTAGCAGATGACAAAATTTACCTTATCAAGGTGTTTAATGGGTCTTGTTTGTTTATGTAGTAGCAGGACCACAGAAGTGGAGAAGGAGAAATAGCTAATTTCCTTGGGAACTTCAGTTTGCATCACTATTATATATAAACACCTGTATATGTAAGAATGACTTATTAACCATTATTTCAGATAAGATATATTTCCCTGAGAAGCAGCTCTTTGCCATGAACTTGCATTTTGATACTTATGACATTTAACAAATCAAATTAGGTTAATGCATATAAAAACTGATAATCATGTTAAAAAGAACACAGAAAGGCTCCATACATTAGATACTTAATTCTGGCATTGGATTGATCCTAGATTTTCACTCAGTTGATCCGTCTACAGTACACATGGTAGATAATTTTCAAAATGTTGACCCCCCAAAGTACTTTAAGATCTATGAAACTATGTATAATATGGCTTTGTGGTCTCACGGTTGTCTGGGCTTGCTGGATCTAATAAGACATAAATTCCTCAGAGTGGATCAAAAACCACCCTTAAAACCAAGTTGGTGAAAGTTGTCTAAAAGACCTAGTGAAATCACTAGATCACCATTTAATGATTACTTTTTAGCTTTTTTTCTCTGCATTGCTGGGGATTGAATCCAGAGCCTTGTGCATTTCACCCCCAAGCCTAGTTTGGTGTTTACAGAAAAGTTCATCCTCAAACCTACTATTTTTTGGGGGGAGGTGTCTTTTTTTATGAGACAGTATCTTCTTGTAGCCCCAGTTGGCCTGGAACTCACTATGTAGACCAGGCTGGCCTTGAACTCACAGAGATCCCCTTGCCTCTGCCTCCCGAGTGCTAGGATTAAAGGTGTGTGCCGCCACGCCTGGCATCTCAAACATACTATTTAGACAGAACTATTATTTGTATCACTTTCTGGCAGATGTTATGACCACAGCAGGAACAGAGGGAGACAACTGCTTCAACTTCAGAGTCTGTTCTGTGACTCTTACCATGGAATATGTCTCAATTAAAAAAAAATAAATACATAAGACACCAAGAAGTAAAATCTTCCAAGTGAATACTTAGGGAATGTTAGTGCGTTCTCTCTTTTTTATATAAGAAGAGCATCTGGAACAGATCCAAACAGCAGTTTCCACCAAGAAGAGTGTGCTAATAATGAGATACTGAGGACAATCTCCACATGTTCATAAATAACAACAGAGTTAAAAGTCCATGTTCCCAAGAGGAAATCTCAAGGAAATGTGAAAGTATTTTAACTGAATAATGATGAAATCATGACACATCAAAATTTAGGGATATAGCTCAACTAATGGCTAAAGGAAATGTCACATTTTAAATGCTTATGTCAGAAAATAAAACAGACTTAAAAGTCAACACTGTAAACTTCTAAGCCAGAAAAGAATAAAATTAAATCCTAGGTAAACAGATGAAAAGAAATTATAAAAACAGACTGAAAACTTTGAAATAGCAAATGGTCAAAAAACAGAATAAAAACTTCAAATGTAAGTTCTTTAAAAATATTTTGGAAGCCAGGCGTGGTGGTATAAGCCTTTAGTCCCAGCACTCTGGAGGCAGAGGCAGGTGGATCTCTGTGAGTTCAAGGTCAGCCTGTTCTACATAGTGAGTTCCAGGCCAGCTAGGGCTACAGGGAGACCCTGTCTCAAAAAGACCAAAAAAATTTTTTTTTGAATTATTTCTCTTTTATTTTATGTGTATGAGTGTCTTGCCTGAATGTATGTTAAGTGTACCACATGCATGCAATACCGGCAGAGGCCAGAAGAGGGTACAAGATCCCCTGGAACTGGAGTTACAGATGGTTGTGAGCTGCCATGTGGGTGCCATGTGCATGCCTTGTGCATGCTGTCACAAGTGCTATGGGTTTATTTTATTTTTCTTAATTTTTACAAAAACTTTATTGAGAATTTCATACATGTATATAAGGTGTTTTGATCAAATCCATGTGCACTCCCTCCCCTCCAACATTCCCCCCTTCTGAAGAGGTAACCCCAAAATCTTTTAAGGATTAGATACAAGCTCCCAAATACTTTTGACATTCTTGGCCTTTGGAACACAGTATGTTGTTAACAGGCCCAAGAACGTTTTGACTTTTAGCCAGGAAACTGGCTACATTTCTTTGGGGTCTTTTTACCCTAACTGCCTAGCAAATTCCTACCTCCTATTCTTATCACACTATCCTCTGAAGGGGTTACCCAAACTGCCAATAAGGAATAGGGACGCAGACCACTCTGGCTTCTTCCAGAGCAGCCAGTGCTCTTAACTGCTGAGCCATCACTCCAGTTCACCCCCTCAAGTATAAGTTCTTAATAAATATTAATAATATATAAAAATAATAATAATTCCTCCAGTAAGATTGATCAATAAAAACAGAGGGAAAATATGTGATCCTTGTCTGGAGTGAAAAAAGCACACTGTTACAAATCCTACAGATATTTTATTTTTAGGCTGATAAAGATATATTGTGATGAACTTTAAGATACTTCATCTTAGGTGAAATGGCCAAACTAATCAAAACATTTAAAGTGACACAAGAAGAACTAGAAAATCATAATAGTCCATATTAAGAAATTATAATTTAGGGGCTAGAGATGGCTCAGTGGTTAAGAACACTGACTGTTCTTGCAGAAGACCCAGGTTCGAATCCCAGCACCCACATGGCAGCTAACAGCTGTCCATAACTCCAGTTCCAGGGGATCTGACAGCCTCTTCTGTCTACTGTGGGCATTGCATGACATGGGTGCACTTACTTACATGCAGGCAATACACACATACAAATAAAATAAAAATAAATAAATAAAATATTAAATAAAATCTTTCTACAAAGAAACATCTAGTAAATACAGAAATGAATTTTATCAAATATTAAGGAAGAAGTAACATCAGTCTTCCTAAATCTAAATAAAACTTCAGTGAATATTGGAATGAATTCTATCAAGCATTAGGGAAGAAATACTGCCAATCTTACACAAATTCTTTCAGAAAACAGAGGAGAAAATTTACTCCTCAACTTGTTTTGTAAAGTTAACATAACCAAACTGACAAAAACAGTACACAAAAGGAAAATCAGAGACCAATATTTCTCATGAACAGAGTTGCAAAATCCTCAATAAACATAAGCAAACAGAATTCAGCAGTGTATGCAAAAGATAACACATCATGACCAACCAGAGCTTATACTGGGAAAGCAAGGTTAGCTAATACATGGAAAATGTCAGTGTCATCACACAGACAGATCAAAGAAGAAAAAGCATATGATCACCTCGAAGATGCTGAAAACCAGCAGTGTACAGACGAATATCTCTGCAACAATGCATCTCAACAAATCCGGATAGAATATGGTAGCTTCAATCGGTTAAGACGTCTATAAAAACCTACAGACACGGTGATTGCTCTTGGTAAAGCTCAGAACCCTTTCCTCTAAAGCCGGAAATGAAGGATGTCCTGTCATCACTTTCAGAT